AATGGGCTGGGAGAAGTTGACACGGTGTGGAAGAGATGCCTTACACAGTCCATCCCTTGCACAATTATTCAGCTCCCTTATTTCCTGTTAAGGATAATCTGTTCCAGGCTCTCTGTCAGGAATATAAATCAGTCCCAGTTCAGGATGAATTCTGATGGCTTAACTTTACCCACTCTTATATTATTATTATTATTATTATTATTTTTCCAGTACCAGGAATTGAACTCATGACATTGTGCTTGCCAGGTAGGCACTGTGCCACTGAACTAAATCCCCAGCCCCTAATTCTAGCTATTAAAGGACAGGAGATTTTCATTTTGTGATGTCCTCTTCAATTTCCTTTTTCAGAGTGCTGTAGTTTTCATTGTAGAGTCTTACTTCCTTTGTTAGGTTAATTCCTATCTATTTCACTTTTCTTGGTGTTATTGTGAGTGGTATTTTTTCTATTTTCTTTCTCTGTGGGTTCATTGTTAGTGTACTGGAAAGCTATTGAATTTTGTGTGTTGATTTTATATACTGCTTCATTACTGAACTTGGTTATTAATCTGAAAAGTCTTTGGGGGGATTTTTTGGGTCTTCTGTGTAAGAGGATCATGTCATTTGCAAATAATGATAATTTGACTTCTTTCTTTCCTGGACATAGCCTTTTATTACTTTTTCTTGCCTAATTGCTCCTGCTAGTATTTCAAGTACTTTGTTGAACAGTAGTGATAGTGGACATCCTTATCTTGTTCTTGACTTTAGAGGGAAACATTCTTCTTAGCATTTAATATGATGTGGTCAGTAGGTTTGCTATAAATGGCTTTTAGCTGAGTGAGCTAATGTCCTTCTATGTCTATTTTCTTCATTGCTTTTATCATGAAAGAATATTGAATTTTGTCAAAGGCTTTTTCTGCATCTATTGAGATGACCTTGTGTTTTTTTGTCTTTTTTTTTGGAGACAGGGTACCACTCCATAGTTCAGGCTGGCTTTGGACTCACTTTATAGCCCAGGCTGGCCATAATAAACTCACAGTGATCCTCCTGCACAGCTTCCTGAGTGCTGGGATTGTAGGTGTGTGCCACCATGCCCAGTGACCTTGTAATTTTTGTCCTTATTTCTGTTTATGTGATATTTTACATGTATTGATTTGCATATGTTGAACCACACTTGCATCTTTGGGATGAAGCCTACTTGGTCATGATGTATGATCTTTTTGATGATTTGTTGCATTTTGTTTGCCAGTATCTAGTTGAGGATTTTTGCATCTATATTTAATCAAAAAGATTGGTCTGTAGTTCTCTTTTTTGGTTTGATCCTTATCTGTTTTTGGAATCAGGATGATAGCAGCTTCCAGGAGTGACTTTGGGAGTACCCCTTACCTTTCAATTTGATTAAAGAGCTTGAGGAGTATTGGTGTTAGGACTTCCCTGAAGTTTTTCTAGAATTCAGTAGTGAACCCATCCAGACCTGGGCTTTTCTTAGCTGGTAGGTTTTTTTTTTTTTATTTTTATTACTGCTTCAATTTCATTGCCTGTTATTGGGTTATTCTGGACTTTTAAATCTTCTTGGTTCAATTTTGGTAATTCATGTGTATCTAGGAATCTACTCACTTCTTCTGAATTCTCCAATTTACTGTTTGATGCTGTTATTGAAAACCTTTCTAGAAGGAGAAATTTTGTATGTATGTATATACAGGATAGTTAACATAGTTGTTCTACTGTTTTCTATTTCTTTGCTGAAAGAAACTATCAATGAGTCCTTGATTGATCAATATTGCATGTCTCTATCTGTTTTCATGAGAAACCTCTTTGAAGATATTAATATGTAATACAACAAGCATTGCTAATTTCCTACCACTTTGTAACTCTGTGTTGTTTGTACTGTTCTTTTGCTATTTTGTAAAAGGTTGTCTGTTAATGTTTTCCTCCTTTTATTTTTTTTATTTTTTATTTTTTTGGTTTTTCTCCGGTACCAGGAACTGAACTCACAACCTTGCGCTTGCCAGGCAGGCGCTTTGCCGCTGAGCTAAATCCCCAGCCCCCTCCTTTTATTTTTAAAATAAAATAAAAAAAAACCTTTCTGATTTTGGCAGCATATGTTGTGGTTAAAAACCCTTTTCATTTTTTTCTTTTATTTTTTATTTTTTGTTTTTTTTCCGGTACCAGGAACCGAACTCACGACCTTGCGCTTGCCAGGCAGGCACTGTGCTGCTGAGCTAAATCCCCAGCCCCGCACCTTTTTCATTTATGATTGCACTGATTTGGGTTCTCTCTCTTTTGATTAGTTGTGAAAAGTTTGCATATTTTGTTTATTCTTTCAAAGAACCAACTCTTCGATTCATTAATTCTTTTCAGTTTTTTGGGGCTCAACTTCATTGGTTTGTGCTCTGATGTTTATCATTTCCTTCCTTGTACTAGCTTTGAGTTTGGATTGCTCTTATTTTTCTAAGACCTTGAAATCCATCATCAGTTATTTATTTGGGATCCTTCTGATTTTTTCCATGTGGGCATTCACAACTATAAACTTCCCTGTTGGGACTACTTTCATTGTGTCCCATAAGTTCTGGCATGTTGCACTGGTATTATCATTTAGTTCTAGAAGCTGTCTTGTTTCTTCCTTAATTACTTCTGTAACCCATTGTTTATTTAATAATGTATTGTTTAGTTTCCATGCATTTGCATAATTCCTGTGTTTTGTTTTGTCATTGATTTCTACCTTCAGTGCATTATAATCTAGTAATATGTGTGCTATGATTTCAATCATTTTACATTTATTTAAACTTGCTTTATGGTCTAGTACATGGCTTATTTTGGAGAAAGTTCCATGTGCCGTTGAAAAGAATATATATTCTGTTTTTGGGTGGTGTTGGGAGCCACTGAAACTGGTTATTGGTCAAGCAGTCAAGCTACCTCAGTATTGAAGAAGTATCCTGTTTGGACAATTACAGTCGTTAGTTGCTAGGCAACATTATCTCTCATGATACTACTTTGCAAGTGTATAAAATAAACACCCCTACTGTTGAGGTCAGTCCTCCTGCTCATCAGGTAAGAGGTAACTCCGCCTGATCCCAGCTCTTGTCTCAGCTCTTGTCTCTTGTCTTTATTTTTCTCGTGCACACCACCATTTCTCTCTGGGGTACAGCAAGACCAGCGAGGTTCACCACAGCGTGGAACACTACAAATATCTATTAAGAATGTGTGTTCAAATGTTTTCTTCAACTCTGATACTTTTTTGTTGAATTTTTGGTTTGGTTTACCTGTCTGTGTTAATGGGGGTATTGAGGTTCCCTACTATAATTGTGCTTATGTTTATCTGATCTTTTTATGTCCATTAGTACTGGTATACCATTGTTTGGTGCATATATGTTAATAATTGTTATCTCTTCTGGTTGGATTGTTTCCCTCCAACATGTAGTGGTTTTCTTTTCTTATTTGATTGCTTTTGGCTTAAGTCCACTTTGTCTGTCTATAGGATAGTTACACCTGTGGGGTCTTTTTTAAAAATTCCCTTTGTATGGGATATTGTTTTCCATCCTTTAATTTTTTTTTTTTTTTTTGTACTGGGAATTGAACTCAGGACCTTGTGCTTGCCAGGCAGGCATTTATGCCACTGAGCTATATCCCCAGCCCATCCTTTAAGTTTTAATGTATGAGTTTTTTTGTGTGTTTCAAATGTGTTTCTTATAAACAGCATACACTTGGATTTTGTGTCTTGATCCATTCTGCCAGTCTGTGTCTTTTGATAGGGAAATTGAGACCATTCACATTGAGAGTTATTACTGATAGGTATTGACTTATTCTTGTCATCACCTCATTTTCTTCTTAGCTTTCTATTTAGCTTCTTACCTTATCTGTTGTATTAATGCTATTAGGCAGCTGTAATCATTGTTAGCTTCATTGTCTCTTCCTAGGGTATGCTTGAGCCATTTCTGGGGAGCCAGATTAGTGTCATCATTTGTAGATAGCACCTCTTTACAGGTATTCATTTTGTGGCTGTCACATACATCAGGAAGTTGTCTTAAGAACTAAATAGCAGACTAAATACTTGACTCAGGATTTAGGGCAAAAGAAGGGCTTAATGAAAGTTATGGTGGACAGTGATGATGAGGAGGATGGCAGCGGTGGTGCTAGTGGTATGTAAGCATGTGTAGGGCGATCCTTGGTATTGAGGTCCAAGAGGAGAAAGAGAGCAGTGCCAGCTGGGGATGCTTCCCTTGGGGTGAATGGAGTGGATATAGGTGAAGAGGGGTGGGAGGAGAATTCAACCAGGGGGCACCAGGTGCTGAAAGAAGAGACTGTATGCAGACAGGAAGGGGGCCCATCAGGACAACCATGGGTAGAATAGAAAATAGAGGGTAAAGTTGGTGATTTCGCTGTTGTTGTTTGTTCTGTTTTGTTTTGCAGTAAGAGGTTTGAATCTAGGAACTTCACACTGACCTGCATCTCCAGTCCATTTTATTTTATTTTTTATTTTGAGACGGGCTTTGCTAAGTTGCCTCATAGTTGTCTTAACAGGTTTCTTCTTCTCAACTTCCCAGAGTGCTGAGATTCCAGGTGTGTGCCAGCAGGCAGGCCTCTTCAGTTGCTTGCTATTATTGAAAATTTCCAATTTCTAAAATGGAGATGCTGGGGTAAGATGGGGGGGGGGAATCAGAAATAGGCAAGATAGTATTGTATATCTACTAATTCTCCAAAATGAATGTAATTATTTTACCAATTCACAAAAGAGACTAAATGGATACCAAATAGCAGCTACCATAAACACCTAGATTCAAGTCTTTAACCACGACTGATGTTGTGCCTTACACACTCCAAAGAGGGTCGTCTCTTCCTGGCCCTACAACAAGTTTCTGAACAACATCAAAGTACTGACTGGAGCCCAGTCACTCTTGGGTGCTTGCCCGCGTTGTTGAGGTGCTGCATCTTTGGCCTTGTGTCTGTGCCATGGCTGAGGCCGGGGCCGAAGGTGATGGAGTCAGCACCATGGCTCAGTGACTGCTTACTGTTCCCCTAGGGCTCCACGTTGAAGGCCAGGAGGAGGAGCTCATGTGCCTAGAGGAAGGGGAAGACAAGATACTGGAGTATCACTACAACCGGATATACATGTACAGCCCTAAGGCCTGGCAGCGAGTGGAGAGCCAGGGCCTCCCAAAGACTCTGGTGAAGACGGAGACGAAAAACGATGACCTGAATCGGGCCCAGGTGGGAAGGTTCCTTCTGGAGGATAACCCCACCACTGGCTTCGTCACCATCACCATGAGAAGGCTCCAGAGGCAGGACGTGGGGCTGTACCAGTGTGTCATCCTCCTTGACCCCCTCGTTATCCTGCCGTATCCGACTCGACTGGTCCTATGCCCAGGTGAGCAGCGGGGACCCAGGTGGGAGGGATCTCTGAGTACAGTGGGGGGGGGGGTGAGGCCCCCACCTGCCAGGTGGGGCCACTGAGGAGAGAGTGGAGCAGTGGGGATGGTTCTAGACCTGAAGTCAGGCAGCGTGCTGGACCTTCCAATCTCACTGTGAGCGGCATCAAGAATATACAGTCATTGAAAAGCCCAGAGGACCAGGTTCAGCAAGCAGGAAGAAGGCCCCAGTGAGAGGAGGGAGAGGGAAGAATCAGAGATAAGAGAGGAAGAGGGAGATCATCACGGGTGGACCAGTGGGCGCACTGTGGCAGGGAGTCTCTGATTCACATGACAGAAGGTACCTGGGTTGGAATCCACATGTGAGTGCTGAGAAATCTGGGTTTGGGGCAGCAGGAGCAATTAGGGTCTTGGAATGGTGGGGAAGATTAGGATCCTGAATCTGAGCGCTGAGAAATCTGCCAACCAGGGCTGGTGTGAGCAAACAGCGCCTGAGAATAGTACAGCTGATTGGGAGCCTGAAAGTGTGCTGAGAAAATTGCAGCCCCAGGGCTGTCCAAGCAAGCAGCACCTGTGTGCGGCAGGAGAAAGCAGAGGTGTGTGTGTGTGTGTGTGTGCGTGTGTGTGTCTCATGGTAGTGGTGGTCAGACCCACTGTTGGGCCTAGCACTGCTCTCCAGCCCTTCGCTCGTGCTCCATAGAGAAAGGTATCCAGGCCTATGAATCACTGCTGGCCCCTCAGGATCTCCAGAGCCCCATGTGTCTGGGTGAGAACACAGCCCAGATCTTCCTGCATCCACCCTGCCGCGCCTCCTCTGCATCAGTGAGGGAGGTTCCGTGCCTTGCAGGGCTCTGCAGTTAATATTGGATGAATTAAGAAAGGCAGAGAAAAGAGAGATAGGTGCATATTCCTGGCACCAGGAGCATGCCATGCCTAAAATAAGGTACACGTGCAATGTGTTAATAAAGATACTTGCAGAGCAATATGCACTTGTGGGAGGCAGAGTGCATTGCTTAAGGGAGACTAATGAGGGAATTATTCCTGGAGAAGTTGGGGGCTCATAGGTGGAGAAAATTTGCAGGCTCCATCCATGCAAATAGCCTGAAAATTCTTCTCTTCTTTGCTTTCTTCTGTCCTCTTTCCATTCCTCTGTCCATTCTTTCTTTGTTTCTTCTTGTCTCTCACCAGGCTACTGTACGTGGTTTCTAACAAAAGAAAACTTTACTTCTCGAATGGTATATTCATTTCCCTCCTCAGCTTCATTTATTTTCCATGTATCTTTCCATCCTCCATCCAGCTATTCATTTATAGTGTTCATCCAATCATCCTCCCACCCCATTCTTCATCCATCCATCCATCCATCCATCCATTCATTTACCTATCCATCTCCCCATTCATCCATCCACCCATCCATCCATCCCCCATCCATCTGTCTGTCTATCCATCCACCTATGTATCCATCCGTCCATCCATCCACCCCCTGTCCATCCATCCATCATCCATCTACACATCCATCCATCCATTCATCCATCCAGCCCTCACCCCCCATCCACCCATCCACCTATCCATCCATCATCCATTTACGCATCCATCCATCCACACATCCATCCATCCATTCATCCATCCAACCCTCATCCCCCATCCATCCATCCACCTATCCATGCATCCATCATCCATCCATTCCTCTGTCCATCCAACCATCCATCCATCCATCCATTTATCCATCCTTCCACCCACCCACCTATCTAATATGTCTTCTTGCAGATTCTTCAAGTACCCATGCCTCTGACATAAATTCTACCCCGAACTTGGCCAAGAAGTCTGCTTTTACTTCCATGAAGGGCCTGACCCCGACCTTGGCTGATATTTCCACCTTTCCTACCACAGAGACTTTGAGCACAGTCTACACCAGCCGCAGAACTGTGACTCAGCCTTTCTCTAAGTCAACTGCTGTCGTCTCCTCTCCTGACCCAGGAGTCAACTTCACAAATGTGACAGGTGTCATCAGGTACGGTTTCTAGACCCCGGCCTCCTGGGTTGGATGCTGAGCCCTTTGTTCCTCAGTCTGTATGCCAAGGGAATGTGGGGAATGAGGGATGAGGTGCGTGGGGTGGGTGGGCAGAAGCAGATTTGAGTCACCTGAGTCTGGTGGAAATTCGCAGGAGGGAAGGTGGAGACACAGTGAGGAGCACGCGCCAGCCACAGTGCCATCCTCCCCAGACCCCCTTCCGGTTTCCTCACACACCATAGTAGCCAGGAGAGGCAAATAGCATCTCACTGAATGGACCCAGCCAGCCCTGCGGGGTAGCAGAAACCACTCTGAGTGAGGCACCCTGGTCCTGATGGAGCCTGTGTGACTTTAGCCCGGCAGAGAGACTTCTGGCTTCACTTTCCTGCTGTTACGGCAGATGACCTAGAAACCCAGAGCAGCAAGAGACCATCTAGCCCCACAGCAGCAGCACGTTATGATTTTTCGGAGTGTTAGTTTCTCTCTTTCAGTATCTGTCTCTGACTCTCTGTCTCTCTCTGTCTCTGTCATTCTCTGTCTGTCTCTCTGTGTCTCATTTGATTTTTTTTTGGTACCTGGAGCTGAACTCAGGACTATGTGCTTGCCAGGCAGGCACTGTGCCGTGCCGCTGTGCTGTATCCCCGGCCCTCTCTTTTGATTTTAATGCTGGTGCTGATATTCTACTTCAGACCCACAGGTGGGGCCAGCCTCAGTACTTGTGAATAAGATTTCCAGAGTTTTGACTTGCAGATGTGTTAGTCAGCTTTCTGTTGCCATAACAAACTTTGGGACCTTCATGAAGCCTATGAAGAGAAAATGTTAATTTTGTCTCACAATTTTGGAGGTTTCCACCCGTCACCAGTTGACCCCATGACTTTTGGACTTGTGCGGACATGGCGGCCGCAGGTGGCAGCACACGACCCCTCCCAGGCAGGGTGTGGGGAAGAAGGAGCAAGAAGGGGCTGGGGTCCTGTCTTTCCATCTGGAGCACGTCCTCCATGACTTCAAGGGGATTGATGTCACCCTGTCCCGGGGTCACTTCCGGAGGGCAGACCGTGGGAAGTGGTCCGGTTAGGATGCTTTAGGAAGTGACTAGCGGCAGAGCCAGTCTGGAGGGAACTAGGGAGGGGTGAAAGCCAAGTAAAGTCTCATTAACTAGGCCAGACTCATGGGGTGACTTGGGCTTACCTGTCAGGGAGGTCCAGGTCACCCCTGGAGTTACCCCTACCAGGGGCAGAGGACCTGGAATATTTATTAATGTATTTATTTTATTTACTAATTTTTACGGTACTGGGAATGAACCCAGGGCCTTCACACTGGGCTACATCCCCAGCCATTTATTTGTTTATTGTTTTACTATTTATTTTGAGACAGTCTCAGTAAAGTGCCCAGCCTGGGCTTGAACTCGAAGCCCTCATGCCTCAGCCGCCCAGAGTGCTGGGGTTACAGGCATGGACCACTAAGCCTGGCTGACCTGGAGCATTTGTATTTCTGCAGTCACAGTCACTGATCACGGGCAGCCCACAGGATGCCAGGGGCAGGCGGATTCCAGGTGCTGCAGGGTGGTGGGGGAGCCCATGAGGATGCCTTGTGATGGGTGTGTGCAAAGGGTGCCCCGACAGAACTGGGGTGGCATGCAGTTCGTGAAACCCCGAAGCGGGGACCTTAGGGCAGCTTGGCTCCAGCCAGGGCAGGGCCTGGCTCCATGTGGGTGTGGTTTTTTTTTTTTTTTTTTCTTTTTGCGGTGCTGGGGATTGAACTCACGACCTTGCGCTTGCCAGGCAGGCACTTATGCCACTGAGCTATATCCCCAGCCCGTGGGTGCGGTTTTAACCATGAAGGGCGGGTCAGACTCTGGCTGCCCCGTCTCTGGAGACCTCGTAGCCAGCACTGCCACTGGGGAGCTTGACCAGGCCGCCTTGGGGATGCTGTCCCCTGAGACACAGGGCAGGGCAGGAGGCCGGGGTGGATCTCAGCGCAAAGAGGGGCACTTTGATCTTTGCTATCGCTACCATGTGTCTCCCTCTTTGCTAGCTTGTGCATTTGGTTTTAAGTTTTGCACAGGCAAATGCGCTGATTTAGAAATTATTGCTTTGCTTAATTGTGCTTTATTCTATTTTGGCAACTTTACTAGGCTTCTTTTCCCCCAACTCATTGAAATCTTTAGGCCCATTGTGGAGTTATAGAAAGATTTCATTGTTTCTCTTCAGACACCTGAGAGATTATTCCCTAAAACAATCTTTGCCTATGTACAGGGTTGGGGTGTCCCTTGGGTGTAAATTTCTTCTTTGAGGGATGGGGGTACTGGGGACTGCACTCTAGGCCTTCACACTGAGCTACATCCCAGCCTTTTAAAAAGTTTTAAAATTTGGGGACAGGGTCTTGCCAAGTCAGAGCTCCTCCAGAGCTGGCCTTCGATTCCCCACAGCTGTCCGTTTCTTTTTGTGCCTGCGGCTTAGCCCGCAGAATTCTTGTGTTCTTGTCCCTCCCACATCTGCTGATGGAACAGAACAAGCCAGGCTCCCGGTCCCACTTGTATCTTTTTATGATATCTGTTGATGTTCATGTGAGACTTGTAGAATCATTTTGCTCAAATGTAAAAATATATGGTGGGATTTCCTCTAGGGCTGGATTCTTGATTTATAGATGAGGAAATGGAGGCTAGAGTTTTGGGCTAGACTGTCCCAGGAAATGGATCGGGTATGGAGGATAAAGCCCTGGTTTCCTGGCCCTGGGGCCGCCCTCTCTACTCAACACAAGGAAGTTGGAGCCACAGGGCCGTCCTTCCTCCCTATGCCTCTCCTGCATGTGAACCCCGTACTCCAGAAAACAACTCTCGGATTGTTGTTATAGGGAGCGAAGCCAGCTACGCTGCACGGGGCCCAATGGTATGGGAAAGGTGTGGGAAAGGCTTCTGCTGACATGAAAAAAATTTCATCAGTGTCCTTGGCATCATTCAATCTCCTCTCTCCCCAGCGTCTCCTTCTTCAGCATTGTCATTCCTGTGGTCTGTGGAATCTTCGGCAAGAGCCTGGTCTTCGCCATCCTGTTTGCTGTCACACAGCGATCATTTGGACCATGAGCCCTTGACAGTGACCTCTCACCTCCTAGAGCTACATCCATCCGGCAGTGATGCCAAAGAGAGTGTGGGAGGGAAAGCAGGGGACCCCAGGTGATTTCTGAGGGTCAGGATCCCCCTTGCCTGGCCCAGCCTGGCCCACTCATTTTGACTGTGTACTTTGGCTCCTGCTTTGAGGGGATGACACCACCCCAGCGCAAGCTGGCCCTCCGTTCGGCCTTCAGGAATCCATGAAATAAAGACAGAGACATCCACTTCTCGCTGTGGCTGTTGGTGGGGGTCGTGAATTATAGAAGGCACAGCTGAGACCTCTGTCTGCTGTCCTCCCCTGGACTGTACCATTCTGACACATGGGCAGAAACCCACTGAAGAAGCCTGGTGCCTTCTCAGCCACAGAATCTTTTGACTGCAGCCCTCCCGACATACCCAGCCACCGAGCGAGGGAGCAGATGACAAGATGCCACCGTGCCAGGTCAGAGGTGGGGAAGAGAAACCGATAGAAGAGACAGGGTGTGGAGAGCTGGCTGGGGAACTGGGTGGGGCCTGTCAATTGCAAGATCCCTGGGCCGTGCTACACGGTTCTCAGGACCCTGTATGTAGAATGTCTCCCAGGCTCCCATGAGATGCAGATGCCATAAAGGAGAGCGGAGGCCAGGCGCAGCCTGCTCTCGGGACTCCCCGTGATACCCCACTCTTCACCTTCTGGACGCAGAGTGCCGTTTTACTTTTGCTTTTTCTCCTTTTCTGTCTTTGTTTGGCCCAAGTTTGCTCTACAGAGCTAGTTTTTCCCTGACCCGTTCACCCTTCATTTCTCAAATAAACTGTCGGCACTGTTTTTGGCTTGCCTCCTCCAATTCTTTGTTTGAGGCAAGAAGGACCCGGAATACTTTTATTTTTTTACTTTTGAGACAGGGTCTCGCTATGCAGTTCAGGCTGGCCCTGAGCTTACTTTGTAGCTGAGGTTGGCTTTGAACTCACCATGATCCTCCTGCCTCAGCTTCCCAAGTGCTGGGATTACAAGCGTGCACCACCATGCCCGGCTGGAATACTTTTAACTGGTGAGCCATTTTTAATGAAGCCACTCGACAAGGAAACCAAATTAGGCTGAGCGTGGAGACTGGGCACAGGAGGAGGATCTGGACCCGTAGGATGGGATGGAAAGCTGTGTGCGTTTGTTTTCTGGGTCCTGAAAATAATCCAGGAGGGTGGAGGTGTGTGTGGCCCGCGGGAGGTCACAGGAGTGATCAGTCACCGCTCACAGGCAGGAAGGAAGACTACAGAGCAACTTTGTAGAAAGCCTTAAAGCCACAAGAGTGAAACCATAGAGAGCCGGGGCGCTGCTTCTGCCTAGAGCAGTGATGGTGAACCTTTTGGAGCTTTCGGTGACAGCGAACAGCTGGCTGTGGCCGTAGGTTCACCACCGCTCATCTCAAGCCTCTTTTCCTTGACTCACACACAACAGGGCAGACATAGAGGGGTGACGAGCTCTCTCTGCCTACGCTTGGAGGCGGCCCCTGGATGCCCCTGCCTCACCCCGCCTTCCTCTTCCTCTGAGTCTGTCCCCAGCTCCCTACCAGCTCTCACAGTGTCTTTGGGACCCTCCTGCTGTCTCTCATAAAAGACCTGTGCAGGCCCCTCTGTGACCTGCAGTTCCTTCCTACTCGAAGCCAGTGTCTATCTGTTTCTTACCTCCCTGGGCTCTAAGGCCAGAGGGCCCTCGTGGACGTGGAAAGGATGGAGGGCCCGTCCCTCCCAGCTGAGCAAGGGCCAAGGCCGTTCATCCTGCAGCCATCAGGAGCAGCCACACCTTGTCACCCACCAGGCGGCGGTCTCACCTTAGGAAAGCCCATGCCTTCCATGGGCCGGGCTTGTCCCTTACTCCCGCGACTGCATCCTGAGTCCCATGGCACAAGCTGCCGCCACATAGCTCTTCCTGCTTGCCCAGCAAGATGCTGTCTGACCCTGCCCAGCAGGGCCCTGACCACACAGAGCTCCTTTCTGATCCCTGATTACAAGTTCACTGGGAGTAGTATGAGTGGAGATCGTTTCATCCTGGTGTTTGTGTGGCCTCCTGGGGGAACCACGTCACCCCAGAATGGCTGGACCCTGAAGCTCTTCTTCTCAGAGCGTCTATATTCCTGTCTAAAGGAGCAGAGGAGTCCCCACCACCCTCAGACACTGACTACTGGGGCAGCCGCTGAGGGTCCTCCTGTGAGCAGTTCCAGGCTGCGCCGGTGTGCGAAGCTCACACAAAGGCCAGGGCACAGGGGGTGGAATTAGATGTTCTGTAGGGGAGGCAGAGTGTGCTGGGCACGTTTCTCACACTGTGGTCCTCAAAGCCAGCCGAGTCACCTCTTCCTGATGTGTGAGAGAAGTGCTCGGCCCTGAGGCCCTGCAGACCTACCGAGGCATGGACACGGCTCCCTTCTGGCTTCATAAATTTGTTTCCACTAAGATGTCCCACGCCCTCCACATGCATCCTCAGTTAATCAACTGCATGCCTTAGTGTGAGATTAACTGCAGTATAAATTGTGTGTTATTTACGTGCAGTACATTAAATGCGCTTGAAGATTATGTGTGCTGCCTTGGAAGACAGTTGCCCGGATATCCTCCCTTTCCACCTGCAGTCTTCCTCTCCACCCTCTCTCCCTCCTCTGTCCCCAGCCTAATCCATCTGGGCCGAGTCAGCAGCTCCTTTGGGCCCAGATTTTGAGTGGGTGGCAGCAGAGGACAGTGAGGACAGTGGCAAGGGTGGCTGTAACCCTCTCTGAACACACAGTTGCTGTCCCCAGGTTTCTAGCCACTCCATCCTCCTGCCCTGCAGGACCAGCAGAGGCAATGATGGATGGTTGTCACCAATGTCAGGGTACCACACACCCATCCGTTTCCCCAGATTACCCCATAGGGTTATGAAACAGTCCCTGATTGTTTAGTTCCAGTGAGCCTCCTGGAACTTGGTGGATACAACAGCATTGTGCGGTTCATTGCACAAGCTTTGGAGTTGAAATCCTAGCTGCAGTCTGTCTGACCTTGAGCGACTCAGTTAATCCTCTGGGACTCATATTTCCCCATTGCCTCAATGGGTACAGTACTACCTAAGCAATACCAGAAGTGGTCCTTGGTGCCAATAGCGGAATCTAACCTGGATTCTGTCCTAAATGGCAGAGGAATTACAGGAGGGCAGCAGGAGGCCACAGACTCAATAAGACACATGACTGAGTTTAGAATGGAAGCAGAAGCCAAGGGGAAGCCAGAGCTGAGATTAGAGCAGGGACCATTGGTTTGGCCGTGTGTCCATTGATGACCCTGCCCTGGACACCTGAAGCCACAATCGCTTGCCATATGCTTTTCCAGGACTCTGAATACTTAAATGCTCTGTGTAAGTCATGTCCAACTAGTTCTGCATCACGTACCACTCACATCCTCAGGATCCAGAGTCATGGGCTTTGCTAAGTTGAGGTCAAGGTGCTCAGCTGCACCGTAGCTCCATCCGGAGTGGAGGGGGACTGGAGCTCTGCATCCTAGTGGGACTCCCAGCTAACCCATCCTAGTGGGACTCCCCTCGCCCCACTTGGATAAGGTGTGTGTGCTGGAGGCCGAGTGACAACAGCGCCCATACACAACTCACAGCGCCGCGGGGATTACCTGCCATGGCTGGAGCACAGCAACAGGTAAGAAGCAGGACATCACCAGGCTGTGATCCTGTCTCTATCCTCACAGTGGTCTCCATGACTATGCAGATTGGAGGGGGCAGAGATGTGCGAGCCCCACACATGAGCAGAGCAGAGACAGGCTGCAGGGACACAGAGTACTTGCAGGGAAGATCTTTTCAACCCATTTGCACTGGATTCACTCAAGCTGCTCATAAACATGCAGATTTCCCGGCCTCCCTGAAGTCCCGCTGAGTCAGTCTCTGGGTGCTGGGAAAGTCAAGAGTACCAGGCTGCCTGCGTGATTTGTCGCATGCCTGCTGTCTTGGTTACTTTCCTCTCATTGCTGAGACTCAGTACCCGATCCCCAAAATGAAGGAAGGAAAGGTTTATTTAGCTCACAGTTTGTGGAGGTTTCAATCCATCATCAGCTGGCTCCAAGGCAGGGTGGCACATGGCAAAAGGGCAACACTTCAAGGCGACAGAAGACAGCAAAAGCCACAAGAGCAAAAGGGGGAGGGAGAACAAGCTTCTTTTTCTCCCTTATATTGTAAGCAGGCTACCACCCCCTTGGGCAGGTGTAGCACTCGCACCACCTCAGTGCCCTCCTCTTGCACAGGATGAGGATGTTTACAAAGTAAGGACCCTGGCTCCCTGCTGAGTCCCTCAGTTAAACTTCTAAACTTCTCAAGTTGACACAGTGTATCAACCGTTACACCTGCACTTGAGAACAAGGTACAGAGGGAGACCGCAGAATGTGGGACATCAGAGCGGCTTGAACTGGGCCTTGGAAGGTGAAGAAACTCCGGATGCATGCCTTGTATCTGTGATGGCGAACATTCATTGGTCAGTTTGACCAGCTTTGGAGCTGCCCAGGGGGTTGGGGGAGCACACTCCTGGGTGTGTCTGGATGGGTCACAAAGGTGTGACCTTGAGGTCTATATCCAGGAAGCTGACTAATAAAATTTCTGATGCAGAGAATGATGTGAGGGGTTTTGGGAAGTAGTGGTCAGGTGGCCACTGATGACGAAGGCTCAGAGACCAGGGCAGTGGGTGGGGCCTGACTTTCTATGTTGCAGGGGGGTGGGCATCAAGTGTTTCTCAACAGGACCATGACATAAGGAAGGCAGGAAGGAAGCTGGCCTCTTCTCTCTTCAGTTTCTGCATTTCCCAAGCTGTCCCCTGGTGTCACATTTCGCTCAGGATTTCTCAATCAAAAGAAACAGCAGAGAGCCATGGATGCAGCTCAGCAGTACGAGCACCTGCCTGGCACTGAGATGACTTGCACTGCACTTTCCTCTTCCGGTTACAGGGCTGACTCCACATCGCTGGGCCAACTGCACAGCTGGCCATGATGGTGCACACCTGCGATCCCACCAGTCAGGGAGCCTGGGGCAGAGGATCTCCAGTTCAAGTTGGCTAAGCCCCCTTCCCACACCCACTGAGCTCCAGGAGAGCGAGAGGTATAAAGCGAAGCCCCCTGCAGAGAAACCTGCAGCCAGGGCAGAGGAGGTGCTAGCAGAGGACAAGGTGATTAGCAACACAGGGCCAGGCTGCAACCGGAAGAGGAAAGTGCAGTGCAAGTCAGTGTGCTAAGGTGCTGGGAAGGCGTGTGGTAAAGGGGCCAGGGTGCTGGAACCAGATCGATCTGGGTTCAAATCCCATGTCTTCCTTTTTCTAACTGTGCGAACCTTAGAAAGTCCCCTAACCTCTCGGAGCCTCATTTTCCTCATTTGTGGGTTTTTTGTTGTTATTATTGTGGCTGAGATGCTCAAGAGTGTGTTATCTTTCAGAGCACTTTTCTTGGCACGTGTTTGCAGTACATAATGAGTGCGTTCTTCAGGAGGAGTTGTCCATGACATCACACATCACACATCTTAATTCTCTTTTTGTCCCTTCCCTTCCCCTCCATCCTTCCTCTCTCCATCTCTGATCTCCTTCCCTTTTGGTTTTCTTTTTTTTTTTTTTGGTTTTGTTTTTTTTTCCAGTATTGGGAATTGAACTCACGACCTTGTGCTTGCCAGGCAGGCCCTGTGCCGCTGAGCTAAATCCCCAGCCCCCTCCTTCCCTTTTGAAAGGCACCTATCTCCTTACTTTCTATTGTATATCTTTCATTTTTCTCTTTATACTTTAGGTTTCTCGTATAAAAGAAACCATGCAATATTTAAGCTTGTGGGTCTAACTTACTTCACTTAATGGTATGCTCTCAAGGTGCATCCGTTTTCCTATAAAGGACTCAAGATTATCTTTCTCAATAGCAGAGTAGTGCTCTGCTGTGTATAAATACATTTTCTTTACTCATTCATGTATTGAGGGGATATAACGCTGCTTCTTCTAAGATTTAGGTATTATTAATATGCTGCCATGAACACATGTATGCATGGATCATTGTAATGGGGTATCTTTGCCTCTTTCAGGAAGATACCTAGCAGGTGAAGTAGTTGGGTCAAATGAAATTTCTAGTTTTGCTTTGTGAGGAATCTCAACACTGATTTCCACAGTCGTTGTACTAGTTCATATCCCCACCAACAGTACAAAGAAGTTCCTTTTTCCCTCCAGGCTTGACAGTATTTTATTTTATTTGATTTCTTGATGGTCATTCTTTCCAGGGTAAGATGGAATCTCACCGTTATTTTAATTTGCATTTCTCTGATGGTCAGTGAGGTGAGCATTTCTTCATGTATTTATTGATCATTTGTTCTTCTGTGAAGTGTCTATTCATTTCACTTGCCCCTTTATCACTGGACCTTTTATTTTGAAGTGTTGTCTAATTTTTTGAGTTCTTACCTGACATAAGGTTATGTGAAATACACCCAGGTCAACTCATGCTCCTTGAAATTTAACTTTAATTAGTGTAGGTATGAGTTCTCTATCTGAGGAACAACTGCCAATTTTTTTCCCTAATCTGTACAGTGTCTTTTCGCTCTGTTAGTTGTTTCTTTTGCAGTGTAGGAGCTTTTTAATTTGATACGGTCCCATTTATTGATTTTGCAACTATTTCTTGTACAAATGGTTCTGTGCTCAGAATATCCTTGCCTAACCCCATGCCTCTGACTTTAAGAGATTTACCTATTTTGTCTTCCAACAGGCTAAGTGTTTCAGTTCTAATATTTAGTTACTTGATCCATTTTGATTTTAGTTTAGTACGTAGTGAGAGGTATAGGTCTAGGTTCAATCTTTGCATGTGGATAGCCACTTTTCCCATACCACTTTTTCTTTTCGGTGGTTTTTGAGACAGGGTCTCCCTGTGTAGTGCAGGCTGGCCTTGAGCTCACTATGTAGTCCAGGCTGGTCTCAAAATTGTGGTGATCCTCCTGCCTCAGCCTCCCGAGTGCTGGGACTACAGGTGTACACCACCACACCTGATTCCCAACACCATTTATAAAGAGGCTGTCTTTCCTCCAGTTTACATTTTTGGTTGCTTTGTTAAAGATCAAACACTTGAACATGCTTGGGGTTGTTTCTATATCCTGTTCTGTTCCACTGATCCTCACGCCTGCTTTTGTGCCAGTCCCATGCTGTTTTTATCACAGCAGCTTTGTAAATCATTTCAGGTCCAAATGCCTCCCACTTTGTTCTTTTTCCTCCAAGAATTTCTTTGGCTATGATGGGTCTCTCCTGGTTCCGTATGAATCTTAGGATTTGTTTTCCCCAGTTCTGTGAAGAATGGTGTTAGAATTTTGATTGGGACTGTGTTAAGTATGATATCAGTTTTGGAATTATGGGAGGAAGAAGAGGAGGGCGGGAAGCCTCTGGCATCCCTGGCTGGCTTTGCCCCTTGGAGCACTGCTGGGGGCTCCTCAACAGTGCCCTGTCACCGGTAGCTTCCTTGATGCCACATGTGTGACTCCTGCCTCTGAGCTCTTGCTGTCCACTTCCTGCTTCTTCCCATCAAGGTCCTACCCCTACTTTGGACAGGATCGGTGACAACCGGGGCACATGTATGAGCCCACATCGGGCCCATAGGGAGCACTCTCCCACTGCATGCACCCGAATAACCCCTGGTGGCTCCCCACCAGCCCTAGTTCTGCACCTGGTCCTCCCACCCCAGAGACGCTGGCCGTCAGCAGTCTCTGCCTAAACAGTGGGACACTGAACAAGTTCTCCAAGTTCTGGCCTCAGAACCCTTTCTCTGGGTTGTGGTAAAGTTAGTGGGGAGGTTCTGCTGTCTTTTCACAGGCACTGTGCTCTCACCTCAGCCCTCATTCTGGAACTAGGCATTTACTCCTTAGGACTTGCATTAGGCAATGCTCACTTACAGACAGCAAAATGCAACCTACCTACTTTAAGTAGAAGGGATTTTAAAATCACAATGTTAAACCAGTCATGGTGGTACACACCTGTAATCCCAGCACTCTTGGAGGCTGAGGCAGAGCGATCAGAAGTTTGAGCCCAATTTGAGCAATTTAGCAACCTAGTGAGACTCTGTCTCAAAATAAATTAAAGAAAAAGGTGGGAACATAGTGCAGTGCAAAGGCCCTGTGTTCAACCCCCAGCACCCACCATAGAAAAGATTTACAGAATCAGAATCAGATCCCTACACAGGGAATGACTCTCACAGGCACACTGCAGCACAGGAGTATTGAAGACCACTGTTATCACAGTCGGGGCCTTGGAGAGCCCAGAAACATCTCCAACCAGGAAGCTGCCGGCACAGCCCCTTTGCTGGTGAGATGGACGCCTGCCTTCTCGTGTGACCCGGCTCTGGCTTTAAATCTCACATCAGTGTATTTGATGCGGGGAACTCACAATATCTGGAAGCCTCACTGCTAGTGAGTGCAAGACAAGCTTTTCTGACCTTTCACAGTTACAGGCCCAGGACAGGAGGCAGAGACGAAAGGCAAGTCTTAGCACCCGCCCAAAGGGCCCTCACCAAAGCTGACATGAAAATAGTTCTAATGTTAAAGGTTGGTTGCTTTGTTTATCATCAAGGAAAGACAAATGCAATAAGTGGAAAATAAACGTCCAGTCTTTGTCTTGTGATGTCAAAAAACTCTGGTGTCTCTGATGTCAAAAACAGTCCATTGGGAGCTGGGCATGGTGGCTCATGCCTGCAATCCCAGCACTCGGGAGGCTGAGGCAGGAGGATCGTTTCGAGTTCGAGGCCAGCCTGGGCTACAAAGTGAGCTCAAGGCCAGTCTGAACTGCATAGCGAGAGCCTGTCTCAAAAAGACCCCCCAAAAAATAAAGCAGTCCATTGGATTTGATGTGTTACATATTGCCCCAACGGCATAAACAGGTACAGTTAGAGAGAATCAATTTCTACCTCTTCCTGTTTCAGAATTTATGGGAAACTTCAGTGTGTTTAATGATCCCATTTGTTATCAGTCTTCTCTGATCTCTTCCCAGGCATTCATGTGGTCACCTACTGTTCAGTGACACTTGGAAAATTCAGCTTCCCCAGCAATGATGTAAATGACAATAGCTTCATTTTGACATCCCTTAAACAGAGATCTCAAGAATCTGTACCATCAGAAATGATGCCGTTTGGAGCCAAGGAGGTGTTCTGGGTAGGGTCTAGCCTGCAGGGACCAGAATCCCTTTTGGGGCTTGAAGAGACCACGTGCCTCAGTTTACCTCCTTGGACCGCCCCCCTCCCCCGCCGGTTCAGGACTGTCTGTCTCAGCTGGAGTGAGAGGTCCTCTGTACCCAGGCTCCCCTGCCTGGTTATTCCTGTGAGTTGCATTTGCTAGGGAACAGCAGGCCATTTGGCGTGGGGTGGCCAGGAGTGGAAACCCATCTTACTTCCTCTACACCACCGTCTCTCATATCAGTAACCACTTCTTCTTCCAGGGTGACCTCAGTCTTCTCCTTCAGGTAATAAAGGGACACCTATCTAAGGTCGATTGCAAACATGTGAACATGCTGTTTTTATTGTAGCTTGTTATTTTCTTTTTGAGATGCAGTGTTGCCAGGTTGCCGAGGCTGGCCCTGAACTCCTGAGCTCAAGCATCCCTCCTGCCTCAGCCTCCCAGATAGCTGATAATACAGGCACACATCGTTGTGCTCCATGTTGCAGGACCTGCTTCAAACCACAGCCTTCAATAACCTCTGAGCTTGTGTTACCCCTCAGCACCCCAGGTAGTGAGATCAGCTTGGTGTTTGATGATGTCTGGGAAATAGCATTTGTCGTAGTTACTTTTCTCTTGTTGCTGGGACAAAATATCTGACTCCCAGAATTAAGGGAGGAAAGGTTTATTTTGCTCACAGTTTGTGGAGAGGTTTCAGTGCATACTTGGCTGGCTCCAAGGCAGAGTGGCACATGGCATGATCATTTGTGGACTCATGCATGTTTTTGGATGGAAAAGCCCACTATATTTTGTTGCTAGATTGTTCCAACTTTGGCCTTTTTTTCCCTTCATACTTTTTTTTTTTTTAGATAGGGCCCTGATATGTAGTCTAGGCTGGCCTGGAACTCGTGGAGATCCTCCTGCCTCAGCCTCCCAAGTGCTGGGATTACAGGCGTGCTCCCTTCACACACATGCACACACATTGCAACATGACTGGAGTTTTCATCTTTTCACTCATTTCTGTATTCATCCAACAGACCTGGTCTGGAGCCCCCTGTCTTCTTTCCAGCCCCTGGCCGGTCTTTCCCCACCTGCTTCCCTGCTGATAATGCTTGCTTGCCATGCTTCCGACCCAGCTCCTCTGGCCCCACTTTCTCCAGGGATCACCCTCAGCTCCTGCGGTTGAAGTTTGCCCCCGACAAAACTTCCCAGGGTGAAAACGCATCATGCCCTAGTGTGTCCGGGAAGGAGGACGCCTTGGGCTGGGACCCATGACAAGGACTCCGGCCGTGACTCCAAGGGCCCCTGGCTTCCCACAGGGAGAGGGAAACGCGGAGCAATCTCTTAGTTCACTCCAGCTTCTTCCTGCTCATGCTCCGGCCTCCCCGCTCAGCCCCTGCAAAGGAGCTGGGTGGGTTGGGAGCTGTGGGGAGGCGAAGACAGGCAGAAGTCAGGCCAAAGGGCCGGGGATATAGCTCAGCAGCACAAGCGCCTGCCTGGCAAGCGCAAGGTCCTGAGTTCGATTCCTGGTACCAAAAAACCCAAACAAACAAAGAAACAAAAAAATCAGGCCAAAGGTGCTGAGCAACGGGGCTGAGGTGTGGGGGCCCAGGGAGAGACCCTGTGGCCGGCGGCCTCCCACCCGGGCCTGGCTGCCACCTCTCCCCAGTGCCCAGCAAGCCCACCTTTCCAAGCCAACCACTTCCCCAATCCATGCGCAGTACTGACCTTTCTGGGTTCTGTGTTAGCTCGGAGGCGCTGACAGCCGGAAGAATGGGGCCCCTCTTCTGGTTCCCTGTGCCCGGAGGGCTTCCCTTTGTTCCTTTCTCTCACGGGCAGAAGCCACTCGGGGTGTCATGGCTCGGAGGGGTTCCTGCCTGTCGCTGCCCGCTGTGCTGCTGGTGCTTCTGGCCTCAGGTGAGACAGAGGGGTCCAGCATGGGGGCGGGGTGGGGGGCTGCGATGCCAGAGGACTGGCTTTGTGGGCATTGGAAGTGGTTCCCTCTCCGCTTTCCCCAGGGCTGGGAGTGGTGGCCGGGCTAGGGCTGTGACTGAGGGAGGACTTGTTATCCAGGTTCCAGAGGGTCGACAGTGGTGCCCGAGGAGCTGCGGGTAGTGGTGGGACAGTCGCTGTCTGTGCGGTGCCAGTACACACCGCAGGCGGGATCCTACGTGAGAAAAACCTGGTGTCGCCAGATAGCTACGGGGAAGTGCACCAAAGTGATCACCACCTCCCAGCCCCGGACGGCGGTGCAGGAGCCACGACACACAATCTGGGACGATCCCCAGGCTGGCTTCTTCGTCGTCAACATCACCAACCTGAGGCAGGGTGACTCAGACCCCTACTGGTGCGGGAGCTACCACGCTTCCAAAAACACGATCTTTATTCTCAGAAACATCACCCTGGTGGTGTCTGCAGGTGAGATTTTCTTGATGAAATGCCCTCTGTCAGAGGGAGGCAGGCAGGGCTCGCTCACCCCTGGCCAATGGCTCCATCACCCCAATCCTGCCAAGTCTTCCGCTTGTCCCAACGGCAGAGAGAAGCCCTGTCTCAGGGATGGGGGTCTCACTTCTACCGCCCCTGCCAGTCCCGGTCCCAGCTTTGCGGGGAGACATATTCAAGGCGTGGGGACAGGAGTCTCACTGCACCACCCGTCATCTACTCTCTTCTCTCTTTAGCCCCATCCACTGCTCGCACATGGACTACCACCGGGCCCTCCACACCCACAGGTAGATCTGGGGTCTCCGGTGGGGGAGGAGAGGGGGATGGTCAGGCAACTTGGGGGACCTCAGTGTCAAGGAAGGAGAGACCAGGAAGGCCTGCGCTGGGGTGGATGTCCCGGGGCCTGGGCTGTGGGAAGTGTATCAGGGCATAAAACTCAGGGAGATAGACTGCGCTCTCTCTGATCCCACCCTGAAGCTGGCCATGTTGCTACCGGAGTGTGCAAATCTCTATCTCCTAAATGGGATCGTAATTAGCAAGGATATATTGCAAGAAGAAAAAGACAATAAAACTGCACTTTTTGGGCTTACTTCCTGTTAATTTTCTATCTGGATGGTCTCTCCAAGGCATGTAACAGTTAATTTAGTACAAAACTGAGCTCGTGGTCTCACAGTGTAGATGAAGTCTTCAACCAACAGGTAGTAGTTAGGAGAGTTTTACTGGAAATAACAGTAAGGAGCAGAACAGCCCCTGGATTTCCTGGAGGGGCCCTGAGTGAGTGGCTACGTGGACACTCGATTCAGAGCTACTCATAAATGAGCAGAGTGCTGGCTACAGGAGGCTCAAATGCTCATCTGCTCAACTGGGCTCAAGCTCTCTGACCCAATTCCTCAGCACACAGAGTTTAAAGGAAGCTGTGATTTTAGAGAAAAACTGGATATTTTTTTAAATTCCTGGAAACCCAAAAGGTTCGTAAGGAGGGGCTGCAGCTCCCTTTCTTAGGGAGGGGGCTGCATTCCATGTTATTCAAGGAAGTTTATTCTTGGTCTAAAGTCCTAGATCCTTGTCTATTTTTTAAAAAAAGTGCTTGTCAATATGGCTGATCACCCAACTCTATCTCGGGCCCTTTCCCTAGCTAGCTGCCTTATTCATAAGGTAACTAAACTATTTTTTTACATTTTGAGTATTATACAATGTGTACATGTATTAAAACCTCCTATGTGCCCCATAAATGTGTATCATTGTAAAGGACTAGTTCAAAAGATGAAAGAGAGAAAGAGAGGAAGAAAGAAAGAAAGAAAAAGAAAAAAAGAAATCTTAGGCCCAGTTGCCCTAACCCCTGGTCTGAGTCCCCGAGAAGGTGGCTCTGTCCTTTCTCCACTTCCTCTTGTGGTCCTGGGGACCCAGTCTCATGCTGTGCTCTGGCTCTTTGAGCAACCTGTCTTCTCCGTGTCCTCCTAGCTCTGGTCACTTCTGCAGAGGGGACCCCTGGCCTTTCCTTCAATGGATCTGAGCACAGGTAAGACAGGGGTTTTGCCTGGAAGGAGGATCCAGGGAAGGGGTGGCGGGAGAGTTCATGGAGTGTCTTTTCAATCAAGGAAGGGACTTGTTATGATTTGCGTCTAGATGTCTGCCCCCCCCCCGCCAAGCTCATACAGTCATGGGGGGGGCAGGCCTTTTGGAGGTGACTGAATCTAGAGTTTGTGATTGATACATGGTCCAATGCTGGGATTAAAGGTGTGAGTTCCACACCCACCCTAGAGCAGGTAGCCTGCATACAATACAAGGGACAGAAAGAGGCTTGTCCCTCTCTTGTTGCTTTTGCTGTCTTCCATCTCTGTGAACCACCCTCTGCCATGTGCCGCCCTGCCTTGGAGCCACCCGAGTATGGACTGAAACCTCTACAACTGTGAGCTTAATTTTTTTAATTTTATTTTGGTACTGGGAATCGAACTCATGACCTTGCCCTTGCCAGGCAGGCACTTATGCCGCTGAGCTAAATCCACGGCTCATCTGTGAGCTAAATAAACCTTTTCTCCCTTTAACTTTGGACATCAGGTGTTTTGTCTCAGCAATGAGATATGTGCCTGAGACAGGAGTCAAGCATTGTTTGGAGGATGGCTGGGCATGGGATACAGCAGAGGATCTCGCACAACCCAGATTCAAAGTTGGGTAGAGAGGAGGAAGATTCAGGTTATTAACATTGGAGGAACTATAGAAAAGACAGTTAAACATGAGTATCTGGAAGGACATAGGATGGAACCTGAAAAATATGGGCACTGGAGGCCATGTGGGGCTGCTGAATGATGGAGGTGGAGAGTGACCACATCCTGGGGCAGATAGTGGAGTAACTTTAACTTCTGCTCATGATCCTTGGAGCCAGGGGTCCAAAGGGCATCATGGCTTTCTCTTTATGGCAAAAAGAGACCCAGGCACAGGTGCTCGGGGGACCACAAGGCACAGCTAAGGCAGCATGGGTTTGGGGGAAATAGATGGCCAGCCTCTTGGAAGACCTCTATAGCCTGCCCGGCTCAAGCTCCAGTCTAAGGAGCACCTCGCAGTGACTTTAAAGGCAGGGCTCTAACCGAGAGTCCAAGAGGAGAGCAAATGAGTTTATCCAGGGTCCTGTGCTCTGGGGAAGGAACCCCTCCCACTTCTAAAACTCACCAGGCAAAAGGATTTATCCTCCAGTTCTTCTCCTCCACCAGGCCAGAAGTATGTGACCTTTTAAACCCAAATATCCTGGCAGCTGAGAAGTACTATATTAGGCAAATGACAACACACCCAACACTGGAAACCACCTAAAGAACAGATATAGGAACCAACAGTACGATGATTCTTAGTCAATATGATTAGTTTAGCTAAAGGGGTGAATAAACTATGAATCAAGAGCAAGAACCATTCAAAAGATCTAAATGGTAACATTGGTTTTAAACAGTATTCTACACCATGGTATATATTTTCAATAAAAGGTAGGTGTGGCTGGAGAGTGAGCTGGGATGAAAGTTGAGGAATTCTTGCAGGAAGTTTCTGGAAAAGGATGAGAAGATCTGAAACAAGTCAAGGGGAAAGTAAGAGAGATGAAGGAGAAAAATAGATGTGCTAATGTACTGGTATTAAGAATCTCTGTGGGGGCTGGGGATTTAGTTCAGTGGCACAGCGCCTGCCTGGCAAGTGCAAGGTCATGAGTTCGATTCCCGGTACTGGGGAAAAAAAAAAAAAAAGAATCTCTGTGGGTGAGAAAAGATGAAAAAGGGTATTTGAAGAGACAAGAACAGTTAGGTCCTTGTCTTGTGAGAGGCAATATGTAGATACTGTGTAATTTTCAGCCACTAATTGGAGATAATTAGAAATGCTGTGGGTCTTCAGGTGACTAACTAGATGTGTGCTCCTTAAATTAGTGAAGTGAAACTATCCAAGAGAAAGTAGGAAAATAATTTTTAAAAAAAGCACAATAAATGAAAACAGTGAAATAAGAAGGCAGAAATAAGCCCTAACATAAATATAAGTGGATTAAACTCATCAAATAAGGACAGAGACTCTCAGAGTCTTGAGCTTTTAAAAATTTCAGCAATATATTCCTTATAAGAGGAACAGCTGAGTGTGGTGGTGCACACCTGTAATCCCAGCACTCAGGAAGTTGAGGCAGGAGGATTACTGTGAGTTTGAGGCCAATTTGAGCTACATGGTGAGACACTGTCTCATAAAACAAAACAAAAAAAAAACAACAAAAAGTAGGTCAAACAACCCTATCAGAAATGCAAAAAGAAGTAGGTAACTTACAACTATAGTTGGAGAGTCCCATTCCTCTCAGAAGATGGAGGACCAGTGAGATTAAGAATAAACAGAAGAATCTAAGTTCTAAACCGAGTATTAAAAAATAATAATAAATTCCAAGTATTATGCCATTTATGTAATATTGACAGGTATGCACATTATGATACCTATTTATAGGAATATGTTATAAATTATCTTTCTTAATATATTTAGGTATTCAAAATATGCATGTAAATGTTTAAGAATGTTTTCAACTATATAAATATAAATATTGAATAAAATGTATTATGCACACATACATGTAAACTGTATAAAACACATACATAAACATGCACATATCAAACACTCTGCGTAAAGACAGATAATGTATATTCTTCAAATACAGGAAATATTTATAGAAGTAGACCTTATATGAAGACATAAAATGAACTTAAACAATTCTGAAGGATTAATATGATACAGAATATATTTTCAAACATAATGCAACAAAATTAAGAATGCATGAGAGAAGCAAAGCTAAAATAACACATTTTGGAATTAAGTAATATTTATTAATATATTTTAACATAAATTATTAAATGTAAAATAAAATATATTATGATAATAGAAAAATCATGGGGCATAAGTAGTAGTTAGAGGGAAAGCAATTGCTTTAATTAAATTTGTTGGAAAACATAAAAGTTAAAAATTAGTTCAGGAAGATGGAAAATGAGCAACAGAACAAGCCCAAAGATATATACACAATGTATATAGATATATAAATATCAAGATACCAAAATCTCTCTATGAAAAGGTGAGGACTGACATAAATTAAATGGATTAAAATGGTAGAAATAAAGGAAATCCAAAAATGGTTCTTTGTAAAGTTTAACAAAATAGACACATTTCTGTTGCAACCAAGTTAAAAAATTTATTTTATTTTATTTTTTTTGTTTTTCTTTTTTCTGGTATCAGGAATCTAGCTCATGACGTCATGCTTGCCATGCAGGCGCTGTGCTGCTGAGCTAAATCCCCAGCCTAAGATTTAAGATTAAATCTTAAAAGATTTAAATAAATAACAAATTGAGGAGCAGATTCTTGTTTGAAATCCTTCAAGTGGACAAATTCCTTAAAATATAAAATGCAAGGCTATTGTGTCTCCTCATCGTAGCCCATCCTATGTTTTAGGGTGTATTTACTTTTATTTTTTCTCCCTTTTTTCTAGTTTTACCTGGCCCAAACTCACTCTGCAGAGCCTGTTTTTTCCTACTTTTAATAAATGTGAAACTTTGCCACCATTAAAAAATATATAGATAGATATCTCCAAGATTAAAAAAGTAATAGATTTGAATAGACTGATAATAATGAAAAATTGAAATGTTAAAAACACATCTTCACAGAAAACTTCAGACTTAGATAGTTTTACAGATCTCACTAAACTTTTAAGAATCAAATACTTGATTCATATTCTAGGCAAGGCTTTACACAAAATGGAAAGGAAGTGAAAGCTGTTTCCTTAGTCACTTTTCTCATGGCAGAGGCAAAATACCCAACAGCCAAAGTTAAAGGAGGAAAGGTTTATTTGGCTCACAGTTTGTGGAGGTTCAGTTCAGAGATGGCTGGTTCCAAGGCAGGATGCCCTGGCAGAGGAGCATCGTGGGGGAATTTTTCATGGCAAGGAGAAGCCAAAAAACAGGGCAGTAGTGAAGCACTAAGCAACAGCTAGTAGCAACAGCCTTCTTTCTGTCCCTTATATTTTACCCGGGCTACAGGCTTTTGGGGCAGGCAGCACTCACACCCAGGATGGGGCATCCATTGTTTACACCCAGAACTATGCCAAACCAGCTGGGCGTGGTGGCACACGCCTGTAATCCCAGCACTCGGGAGCCTGAGGCAGGAGGATTGTAGAGATTGTAGAGGATTGCAGAGATTGTATGCCAATGACTACAGTAAATTATTACTGAGTGGAAAAGGTATAAACACAAATTAAGAACTCTGTAAGTTCGAGACAAGCCCAGGTTACAAAGTGAGCTCAAGCCTGTTGTGAGTTTGATTCCTGGTACCAGAAGAAAAACAAAAAAACAAAAAAAAAAAAAAAAAAAAAAGAACTATGCCAAATCAATCAGTGGACTAATTAACTAATCACACACCCTTGATCCAGCATCACACACTTAATCCTAGATCCAACCACCTCTGAAAAAACCCCACCTACGACTGCGTGAGGCTTTGGGAGGACACCTAGACACAAGCCGTAACAGCTGCCAGTGCACTTGGAGAGGCTAGTGCCTCAAAACTGGCTACGGATAATACAAGAAAATTAAATTACAGGTTCATTCTGGGCATGGAGTCAAAAGCAAAATGAATAGCAGCTGACTGAGTGCAAAGTGTATCAGAAAAGAGTTATGACCAAGGTGATCAGGAGGGGCTTATTTCAGGACTGAAAGGGTTGTTCAGCTGTAAGAAACCTATGAATGTAAATGGAGTACATCTAATAAGTAATAAAAATGTACAGAAAAAATTCAACTGCCGTAGAAAATGCATTTGAAAAGCTTTAACACATCTATATTATAAGGAAAAAAATCTTCATAAAATAGAAATAGGAAGATAAAACTTGGCAGAGATTGTATGCCAATGACTACAGTAAATTATTACTGAGTGGAAAAGGTATAAACACAAATTAAGAACTCTTACAGCTACCACGGATGCTTAATACGGCATTAGAAGTCCTGGCCAATGCAAGAAGAAAGTAGGTATGCAGAGAGAGGACAAGAAAAGTAAAAATGACCATAACTAACAGATGGTAGGATCCTGTATATTTTTTAAAAAAGCAGAATCAATGAGCACTATTGATATTTGGCAGGACAAGTCCTTACTTTAAAACTCTTTTCAAATGACTTAATTTTAACACACACACACACACACACACACACACACACACACGCCACCTGAGTCTAGCTGGAGCCCATCTTTATATATAATTAGATAGGGATCTAATTTTTTGATTCATTTTTCATTTTTTAAAACATATTGTGTCTGTTACCTCAAGAATGTCTTCCAAATAATAGGTCTAAAAAACTAAAATAAAACATTAAAAAACAAATAATAGGTCCTCATGAAAGAGTTTAGCAAGGTTGACAGATATACGATAAACTGGCAAAAAATCTTTTAAAAATGGGCATGGTGATTCACACCTGTAATCCTAGCTACTCTGGAGGCTGAGGCAGGAGGATTGTGAGTTCAAGGCCAGCTTGGGCAACATAGTGAGACTCCATTCCATCCCCCTATGCCCCCCAAACCAAAGTAATTTTCAACTTACGAAAAATCATTTAGCAAAATCTGAATAAAATAAAATTCCATTCATTTCAGAAGCAAAATCAATAGTTTCTAGGAAGAATTAATTCAACCAAGATCTCTTTGTAAAAAAAATCTTAAAGTGCTAATGAATGACACAGGTGATTTGAATAAATAGAAATAATTCATGATCTTGGATGAGAAAATAATATTAAAAAGATTTCCTCCAAGTCAAAGTCTCTAAATGTAATCTCAATCACAACTTGAGTTCAATTTTTAAAAATAATTTGATAAATTTACTCTAAATTATATAATGTTCTATACACTCTAAATTATATAATTTATATATAAATTATATACTTACATTATACATTATATAATTTACTCTAAATTATATAATAAATGATGCATGAGTAACTACCATGAAAAAGTAAAAATAAAAGCAAGGACTTGTCTTGCTGTCTTGGTTACTTTTTTCTCGTTGCTGGGACAAAATTCCTGATGCCCAAAATTAAGGAAGGAAAGGTTTATTTCGCTTACAGTTTGTGGAAGTTTCAGTCCGTACTTGGCAGATTATAAGGCAGAGTGGCACATGGCAGAGAGCTAGCTCAGGGCGGCAGAACTCAGCTAAGCTGCAAGCACACACCAGGGCGGAATGGGGGAGGAATGTCCTCAAGCACCCTTTTCCTCTCCCTTACATATGCAAACTATCCACTCCCAGGTGGGTGCAGCTGTCACACCCATATTCAAACTCTAATAGCCTGCCCCATTTCCGCATGAGGCTTTGGGGGGACACACAGACATAAACCATAACACCTGTCAAATATCAAGCAATACAGCCCATGACAGGGTGGGCTGGAATAAGAATGAATGAGGAGCTGAAGGGTTCCCAACACATCAGTGTATATTTGGGGACGTACCTTATCATAAGGCAGCCCTAGAAAATCAGTGGGGCAAAGGACCTGTTACTTGTTTTTTAATTTTCAATTTAATTTAATGTTTTGGACCTGTTACTTGGAAGACATTCTTGAGGTAACAGGCACAACATGTTTTTAAAAATGAAAAATGAATCAAAAAATTGGATCCCTATCTAATTATATACAAAGATGGGCTCCAGCTAGATTCAGGTGGTGTGTGTGTGTGTTAAATAAAATTAAGTCATTTGAAAAATATACTGCAAAGGATCTATCTCTCTATTTCCTATCATCTTTTATTTACACCTTGAGTTTCTCAGGTAAGAGAAACCATACAATAGGAAGCTAGGGTGTCTGATTTATTTCACTTAACATTATGGTCTCAAGGTACTAATACAAAATGAAAATTGAAAAAAGATGCAACAGAAAAATACTGCCGATGAGTATCTGGTGGCATAGGTGTGAGGAAGGACTTCTTACCCAGAACTTTAAAAACACAAACCACAGGGACAAAAACAATCAAATCAAATCAATTACATCAAGAAGGAGAAATGTTATTCAAGGAATAACGCTGTGGGAAAAGATCTCAAGCAGGTAAGAGTGGGAAAAATGAACTGTGAGTGTCTGAAACAGGAGCGGCGATATTACCTAGAGCTCTCAAGGGGCTGACACTAACTCACAGGAAAAAGGCTGTACTCCAGAGAGGCAAAGCCTCCTACGCGCAGTTATAGGAGAGGGAATCAGAAAGGCTCACACCTGCTTATAATAATAATAAAAAAAGTCACTAACAACAACCACGTAACATCGCCTTCACCTTCTCCACTGGCAGAGCAAGGGTGCTGGTGTGGGGAGGGTGGCACCCAGGAAGGCAGATGGCTCTTGGGGAGGGGGGCTGCCCTCTCCCTGACAGCGCTACTCGGGGGAGAGGAGCAGGTACCATATCCGCCCAAATCATCCTCTCTCCCTCCTTCCCGGATCTCCAGTTCCCCCTCCTCCTGGGACGCTACTTGCCTTAAACTCCTGCTCCTGGAGTGCGGACTCCTGGCAGCCAAGGCTCTGTTGCTGGCCACGCTGTGTGTGATTCTGTGCTACAGGTGCAGCTGGGTGAGTGGCTGGGCTGGGTCTTGGGTCAGTGCAGCTGGGCAGCTGCTGTGCCAGGAGGAAGGTAGCCTGGAAAGTCAGAAACAGACCTCCGAGAAACAGAGGCTCTCCAGGGCCCCCATCCCCAGGGGGCAGGAGGAGAAAGCAGAGTGCAGCAGGGCTGGGATCAGGCGGAGGGGAGAAGGGAGGGACTGAGGCGATCAGGAAGTGGGCCAGGGTAGGACAAGGTGCGGGGAAGAGGGACAGAGAAAAAGGCTTACTTTAATTTATGAGTTTCCTTCTTATCCTGTCCCTCAGGGTGCCAAGGACACTGCGGTGACAGACATGATGGAGATTTCTGATTACACCAGCTTCATCAAGGCCCCAGAACCCTTGGGCACATTCAGTCACATCCTTGGACGCAGGAGGAACACCTATTCTCTTACCCCTGGCAACTCACCACCCCAGCCTTGTGAGCAAAACCAGTGCTCAAACCTGGGGAAGACAACACCCAGCCCCCTAGTCATCAGTGGTAATGAGCACTCTGAGATTGGCTCATCCTATAGAGAGCGCTCTAAGCTCCACTTCCGCTGCCCTGCCCTGTCCTGCCCCCAAGCTGACCATCCATGAGAGGATTATCTATACCAGGGCCATCCAGCTCAGCATCTTCTCCCAACTGCACACATGCTCCTTGCTTTCCAGGAAACTTGCATCCCTCCTCCTGCCTCAGCCGGGTGCTAGGACGCCTGCCGTTGCTTGACTCTGCAATACCACACTTCCATGTATTCTTTCTTGCACTTGAACTCAACCCCTTGGACTGAACTTTGTCACAGGCATCTGAGCAAGATCTATGAGCTGATCCTCTTGGCTTCCTGTCTTTCCACCCCAGGTATCCTAATCTGAGATAAAAATGGCTTTAAAATAAATGATGCAATTGAAATTAAGAAAAGAAAAAGAAACTGACATGAAGAAAGGCTGTTATCAGAAGACTGAAAATAGAGGAAGTCTTAGAAGTTCAAGAAAAACTCATTTGCAATTAAAATAACAGAACAGTTTGCAAGCAGAAGCCTGCACAGTCACCCACAAGTAAGATCTGATCACCAAGATCCAATGTTCTGTTTGTTAACGTATAAGTAGTTTTGTAGCCTGAAAGAGAAAATTAAATTGAATAAACCAAATAATTGGGTGGGGTGAAAAAAAGAAATGTTTTAGGGAACAGAAGAAGATATCACATCCATAAAACAAGAGCAGCCTAGGGTCACATTCAGAACATTTAATGTCCAGTGAGGTCTGGGCATTGGCCACTGAACACATTGACCACCTGGAAGGATCAGTGTGTACCAGGTGGATGCCAGCCATGAAAAAGGCCACCACCCAGAGAGCACATCCTGGACAATACAAACCTTTTCTGCTTCTTCTTCTTCTTCTTTTTTTTTTTTCGTGGGAGGGTCAAATACAGAAGTTTCTTCATATACATTTTGGCTAGAGCCACAAAACCTTCTATGAACACAAAACTTTTGCTTAATTTCATATTTATTCATTATCCTCATTTCCTAGTTTCACCTGTCCCCTTTTCAAAATACCCAGTTTCATTTTTCTGTAGCTCTCTTTTTCATCTGCACCAAATAACTGTCGCTACACCTTTTTTACACACTTGTCACACACACATCTGGGTACACACCCAGGCTGTAGCTCACACTCCACTGTGCTGGGTGCAGATGTGGGCTGGCTTTCACCTCTGTGTATTACAATGGATGTCTTCCAGTGTGTTCTGTGATGGAGCCATGGGAGACTTCCCTTAGGGTTTATACTCAGGTGAGATTAGCTGCATTGAGTGAATACTGCCTGGACTGTTGATTACACACGGAGAGAGCATGCACTTTCTGTGAACCTGTAGGAAACACACAGCACCACCTGTGGGCTGGTCTTGGCCAAAGAGAAAGAAATAAGTGGGAGGTGAGAATAAATGTAGCTAAGCAATGGCTTGTGTCCTGTGCAACCTTGGAATTTTCATAATAAAAATAATACATAAAAATAAACACTCATGTTATTGCCACCATGATTTGGTTTTCAATTGTATTTGGTGGGCCAGGCATGATAGTACATGCCTGTAATCCCAGCTAGCACTTGGGAGGCTGAGGCAGGAGGATTGCCACAAGTTCAAGGTCAGCCTGGGCTACATAGTGAGTTCAAGGCCAGCCTGAACTACATAGCAAAACCCTATCTCAAAAGAAAATTGTATATGGCAGAACACAGTCCTCCCTTGATTTATTTGATTGATTGATTGATTGGGGACAGAGTCTCAAGTGGTCTCCTGCCTCAGCCTTCTGAGTAATTGGAACTACAGGTGTAGGCCACAGGCCAAGATTTTTTTTCTCAATTTTTAATACTTACACAGTTTGCAATGGGTTGGGACAAATTCACACTAATAGTACAGAAATACTGAGATTGCTTACAGCATATCAGCAATGGGACAAAAACAGATGGAATAAATGTATGTCTCTATCAGTTCAGATGCTGAGAGAGGGCACTTAGCAGTAGCTTTTAAACCTTTTACCTTGACATCCGTGACCTCAAAAGTGTCTTCTCTTCACCATTTTCAAACTTGTGATAAGTTTGAAAACATTGTAAGTAAACATCTGAAAGAGTTATTTTTCTTCAAACATGCCGCGCGTCCTGAGTAGCTATCAAAGTCACCAGGGTGAGGACCATGAGAGGTTGGAGAAGAAAGCGCAAGAGTCAGAATACAGAAAACTGAGGCCAGATGACACCCTCTCTCCTGATGGGAGAAGAAGGAAGGAGGAGGAGGAGGAGGAGAAGGAGGGAGGGAGGAGGAGGGCCCCAAGGGCTGCAGAGCATTTATTTGTATAACCAGGAGGGTTGGGTATCGCATGAAACCCCTCCACCTGATAGCGTGTCCACATGGCTTGCCTCGGGTGCTGTGTTCTTGAGGTTGGCCTTGCTCCGGCCCCATATGTGTGATCAATCTCCAGCTCCAGCCATTCCCCACATCTGCCCCTTTTCTGTTTTGTAGTTAATTGATAGGTGGTCAGTAGGGGTTGGTGGATTCTGTAGATCTTTTCATTTTTGAATCCTTTTCATTCTAGATGAACTCACTCAATTTAAGCTAAAGATTCCCAGTGCAAAGATTTTTAGGTCCTTGCATATAGCAATTTAATCCTATACACATACTGTCCAGAACAATGATCAGTTACTAGTGTAGTTGGCAATTGTTTTGTACCTCTGTGGTTATACTTTTCTGCTGGATGTTCAAGACCAAATTAAGGTGAGATCTGTATTAATCAGTTTTGCTATTTATCAAGGTCAGTCAAGTTTCCTCAGGATTTACCTTGGAACCATGTACAGCACCTCTAGCTCTTCAGTCAGTGTCAGGCATCTGGATGAGTCATGGTCCTTGCTTGATCAAGTTGCTTTCTGTGAAAACTTGGGAGACTTTTTTCTCCTAGTGACTCTCCTTAGGCATGCTATATACCATAGATCTATATCTTCCGTGGTCCTGCAATCTCCTTGATCAGGAGTTTGTATAACTCACCAGGGTAGCAGGATGTCACTGAAAAGTTTCCCTCATGTTCTGGGTCCTCACTGACCTCTGAGAGCTGGGGCCAAAATATTTGCTGTCCTCTTAGCCTGCCTATCTTTCTAGTTTTTGGTCTCCATACCTCAGTTGTTGAACATTCGGGGGGAAGGTTAATGACACAGCATTTTGTAATGGGGGCAGTGAGCTTAATATTACTATTTTATCTGAATATCAAGCACCTTGTAACATAAACTAGAACGCCCAGCTAAGCATGTTTAACTGTGTGGAAAAAATTAAATTGTATCCCCTTTCACACTCTAAAATAATTTTGAAATGGATTACAGTGATAACTGTGCAATGGAAAGGCATTAAAGAACTAAACAAAATAACTGTGAAAGGGCAGAGATGCATAAACAATATGAGAGGCAGAAGCCATAGAGGAAAAAAGGACCAGAGCTTTGAGAAAATTTTTAAAAAGTAAAGAAAAGAAAAGTAAAGGCCAGGCACGGTGGCACATACTTGTAATCCCCACAGTAGAGAGGCTGAGGCAGGAAGATTTCCGTGAGTTCAAGGCTGGCCTGGACTACACAGCGAGACCCTGCTTCCAAAAAAAAAGAAACGAACAAACAAAAAAGTTAAAAACATAAAAACTCTCTGGGTTCTAAAACACTGTAAAGAAAAGGTATAAGAAAAAAGATTTTTTAAAATTAAATTACCAATCACAGAAGGAAACTGGGAAACGGAAAAAAAATTAATAAACAAAATTACAAAGCTCACTGTAGGAATAACAGAGGACAGAACTACTGAACTTGAAGACTGATTAATAAAATGGTCTCAATTGCAACAAGAGGGAAAGCGGACTAAAAAAATGCACAGGCCTTCAGTGACCTGCAGGACAATGACAGAAGAGCGACACTGCACCATCTGAGATCTGGAAGGAGAGGGAGACGTGGGCCTGGAACAGCCCTGGAAGAGAGGTCTTAGAACATCTTATGCTCGGCCATCGATAAAAGCATACAGATCGTAGCTGGTTTAACCCCAAATAGAGTGAGGCCAAATAAATACCCTCCAACACACACATCCTGAGTAATCAAGCACTGAATCTGAGAGGACCTCTCAAAGACACCCACAGCACAGGTCCAGTGTGCCCCAAGGGAGGCCGAGATGTGCAAGGGTGGTTTGGAGGAGGGCACCCAAGGCTGGTGCTCAGAAAGGGCGGTGCACTTGTTCTCCCTCCCCCTGGGAGAGGGAGCCCAGCCAGTGAGATAGGGAAGGGTAACCCCGGCACACTAGGAGGCTGAGACAGGAAGATCTCAAGTTTAAGCCCCACCTGGACACACTTAGCGACTTGGAGAGATCCTGGCTCAAAATAAAGAATAAAAAGAGCTGGGGTGGAATGTAGCTCAGTGTGAAGGCCCTGGGTTCAAGCCCCAGTGCTGCAAAAATGGAAGGAAGGAGAAAGAAAGAAAGAAAAAAAAAGGAAAGTGAAAAATGGCCAAAGTGAGGAGGGGAGCATACATAGTCATGGGGTCCAGTGGGGGCCCCTGCAGCCAGAAGCACTGATGACGGCCCTGCTGCGCTGGGTATGGAAACCAATCCTTCTCCAGCCCAGGACTGGGCAAAGGGTGGGGTCTTGAGCGGAATGCTGAGTCATCTCCACCGGCCTGGTGGCTGTGGTGGCGAGATAGGGCCGAGGGGAGGAAGCCGAGGGACACGCGGGGTGCTGACGGGGGGCAGAGCCGGGGCCGCCAGCGGGTGGGTGCAGGGAAGCCACATGGTGGTTTTGTGGAGCCTGGCAGAGACAGCCCAGAGAGCTGGTAGGCGATGGAGACGTAGGAGAAGGAGAGGCAGGGAGTGGGCCAGAAGCTGGGAGAGGTGCACAGGGAGGAGAGGCTGTGTGTGTGTGTGTGTGTGTGTGTGTGTGTGTGACTGCACAGGAGCCCCTCCCTGAACCCACACTTTACGCTCTGAGTCTTACAATTTGCATTTCCGCCAAGACGAAACTACGGCAGCACGTGAGCGTTTGCAGCTGTGAGCACAGTAATCTTTACTGAGACGGGGTGACAGGACAAAGGTGTCTGGCCCTGAGTGAGTGAGTGCAGGGGCAGTGACTGGACCTTCCCTGGACCCTAGCCCCGAGGATCCCAGGTAAGTCTCATGCCCTAGGGGCCAGCAGCCCCTCACCTGTCCCCTGGAGGACAGCCTGCCTCAATGGGGTGGGCGGTGTCCCTCCTGGACCTGGTTTCTGGAGAGACCCAGGAGGGCAGGAAGCGGCCTTGGAAGGGCCCCCGCCCGGGTGGAGGGGCCACAGCCACACCTGCCGAGCTCTGAGGAAGAGCGGAAACAGCCGCCAGCGCCTCCCTCCCGGCGATAGGCTCTGTGGGGGCCTGCGGTCTGTGGGTGGCACAGGGTCCCTCCGACCTCACTTCCCTAAACGGGCCACTTCACTTTTACAGCCCGGACCCCTTCCCTGGCAGGCCCAGGTGGCATGTCCTGCAGTGGCCTGGGCCCTGACCTAGGGTCCCCCAGGTGTCCCAGCCCCCTGCATGGCCTGTGACATACACCTGGCTGGAGCCATGGTCCTCGGGCTCCTGCTTCTGCTGCTGTGGCCGCAGGCCTGTCTTGCAGGTGAGAGGACAAGGGAGCGGATGAGGGAGGGGAGGGCCACCTGCCCTGGCCCAGTCATCCCAGTGCTTTGCAGGTTAGAGAAGGCTGAGTAAGAGAGGAAATGTGCCATGTTGACACCTGCCCCAGGCACTGCCAACCAGGCCTCACCAGCCCGGACTGCACTCCAGACCTCTCTGCACTGGCCCCTTGTTTGCTAGGCTGTCAGGGCTGGAATGAGGGACACGGTTTCCTCGCAGGAAAGGCCTTCCTCCCTGTGCTGGGTCAGGAAAGGTCTGAGTAGTTCTGACAGAAGCCATAACATCAGGCGCCCCTACCTTGGAACTCAGTTTTTCCTGGAAGGCTGATGCCACCGCTGGTCCCTGCCGCTGTTCTGAAGGGGTCCAGTCACTGAAGCCTTTCCCTCCCCACAGCGGTCCTTGAAAGGATCTCACCCATTCCTGCCTCCTTTGCTGCCATGGCAACCAGCTTACCACTTTCTGTTCAGTTCTGGGCATGGTGAGGGTTGGTAAAATCAGCCCTCCACTACCCGCAGGGGGCTGACACAGGACCCTGAGACCCTTCCCAGGGTCAGCCACCTCAGGACCTTGCCAGGACAGAAAGTGTCTGTCTGTCCTGGGCCAAGAAACCCGGGGTTCATCCATCACGTCACTGAATTGGGTCATTCCGCTCTGTTGCCAGGGACCATGTGACAGAGAGAGTAGCGTGTTCCCCTGCTGAGAGCTGCATTTACAGCGGCAGCTGGGCTGGGAACTGGGGCAAATTTCTGGGGTTCTGGGCCCTTGATTTGGGTGCCTCTGAGCTCCAGCTGGGGAAGTCTGGGGCAACTTGCTTTTCGGAAGAGGAGCGCGCACTCCTTGAGCGCCTGCTGTGTTCAAGGCACTGTCATGGGGAGTCACCTCCTTCGATAGATGAAGAAACAGAGACACCGGGTGATCTGTGCGTGCCAGGACGTGGTGGGGCCCGCTTTGAACCTGGGCTTTATTTTGACTCCAGAACGCATGCTCTCTATTGTAGTCTGCGGCGCAGGAAACTAGTGTGTTTGTAGAGGTTCTCGGGTGAAACTGTTGAACAAGTGGGTGCTCAGCTTACAGCAGTGGCGGAAGGGAGGAGCAGCTCTGCAGCTTTCTCCTTCCCTCTGTCCTCTGAGTCACCCCCTGCCACCCCCTAGACCTGCTTTGTCTCCCCCAGTCTGTGGAAGGTGAAGGACACAGGCCCCGTCACACTGCTAGGCTTAGGGTGCAAGGTATTATTATTATTTTTTTTTAACACATTTAATTTTCTCTCTCCCTTCTTTTTTTTTCTTTTGAGACAGGGTCTCACTATGCAGTTCAGGCTGGCCTTGAGCTCACTTTGTAGCCCAGGCTGGTTTTGAACTTGCAACGATCCTCCTGCCTCAGCCTCCCGAGTGCGGGGATTACAGGCGTGCGCCACCACGCCTGGCTGGGTGCAAGATATTAGAGATGAGCAGTGAATTGTAGAATCTTTTGGTTGGCTTTTCATCAGCAGTTCATGCTTCTGCCTGGGCATGCTCAACATATGGGTTTTATGTAACTTTGACTATTTTAACATTAAACACCACCTAGATTGAACTAAGGCAACTAAAGAGAGAGGTTATAAAGCCAGACACGGTGATGCACATCTGTAATCCTTGCTACTTGGGAAGCTGTAGCAGGAGAATTGCGAGTCTGAGGCCAGCCCAGGCAATTTAATGAGACCTTATCTCAAAGTGAAATAAAACAAAAGCGGTTGAGGAAATAGCTCAGTAGTAGAGTGCTTGCCTAGTATGTATGAAGCTCTGGGGCTTCAATCCCTAGTACCATAAAAAGAAAGACGACCATGGTAGGGATGGGGTGGGGGCATTCCAGTGGTAGAACACTTGCCCAGCACGCGTGAGGCTCTGAGTTCGACCTTCAGCACGAAGAAAAGATGACAGTGGTGAACTTATTTGGGAAATAAGTAACTACTCACTTTTTCACATATTGGACTTTTGTATCTACCCAAGCTGTCTGCGCACGGAAATTCCAGCACATAATGACTTGGAGATTTGTCTTACCAAGAAACCCGGGTCTTTCCCATGACACTGGGAATCCCGGGAGTCCTGAAAATACCATGAGGGAGCATGGCCGGTGGAGCTAGGGTGAAGGTCTGAGCATCCACCCTTAGACTGGGGGCTCCTGGAGACTGTGCCGGGCTCCACCGTCAGGCCTGGAGCCACCTGTTAGCAGGGCTTGTGTGTCCCCCATCACATGGGAGGGGTTCTTGCGGGTAGAGCCGTGCTTCTCCCTAGGATCCTGCACCACTGGACAGCAACGTGGTTCCCACCTCCTGGCACTTGACCTGTGCTTGGAGTTTGCAGCTGATTTCTTTTTCCTCTCACCAGACGTGGCTCAGCAAGCCCTGTCTCCCCAGGTCCACCCGCCTTGAGCGCATATAGGAAAATCCAGCGCCACGAAGGGGAGACGCTCTCCGTGCAGTGCTCCTACAATGGCCCCAAGAACTATGTAGAAACCAAAGTTTGGTGCAAGGTCAGGATCAAGAAATGCGAGCCCAGGTTTCCCCGGCCCTGGGTGACAGGACCACGCTACATAATGCAGGATAATGTCCACACGAAGATCATCACCGTCACCATGGTGGAACTCAGGCAGCAGGACTCGGGCCGCTATTGGTGCATGCGTGACATCTCCGGGATGCTCTACCCCATGCAGGGCTTTCTGCTGGAGGTGTTTTCAGGTGAGCCAGCCTGCAGGCCCTGGAATGGCTGTGGGTGTCCTGACCCTCCCAGGGACACAGAGCTACTGGGTTGCAGAGATGAGATTTAAATTCAGGGCTCTGTTATATTCAGTCCTTCCATTCAACATGCATTTGCTGAACTTCTGTGATGCTCCAGGCTCTGTCCTAGGCTCAGGAAACACAGTGGGATCCAAATCAGCCACAGTCCCACCTTGGGGAGACACCAGGCAAAAACACATCATTCAGGCCAGTCTCTGCCGGTAACATCAGTATTCTTTGAAGACGAAAGTGTGATGAATCAGAAAGTAACTCGGGGAGATTCTGACATACCAAGGATCAGAGGACACCTCCCTGAGGAAGTGACAGTCAGCAGAGCCCCAAATGATGACAGTTCTCTAGCTCACTGAAAGCTGGGTGCTTGGAAGGGCATTCTGTGGGGGAAAGCAGCGGGAGCAAAGACCCTGGGGTCAGGCCTGTGGCTGGCCCATGTGGCAGGTGGGGCACTTAGGTGAGGGCAACATGGAAATAAGTGTTCAGGTTCTGGCTGCGGTTTTCAGGCTTTGAGGTTGGGGGATCAAGGATCAGCCCTGGATTCCATAATTCAGAGTTTGGGGCTTCTTCTAAGGGCAAGAGTAAGCCTTGGGAGAGAATAGGGAGGTGTAGTGGCTGGTTTTTAGGATGACAGTGGCTGCTTGTGGAGGAGGGGTGACCAGGAGCAGGGGCAGGAGACCATGGGGGTGTCTGGCTGTGTGTGGCAGTGGCTCGGGGTGCATGAGGTGGCTGTGCTCAGAACTGTCCGTGGTTGTTAGACTTTCTGCCACCTTTGCTCAAGTGGGAAGTGAGAGTTGAGCAGTAGGCAGCAGGGTTATGGGCAGGGCAGGTCTGAAAGAGGAGCAAGATTGAAGGGAAAAACCGAAAGCTCTGTTTTTGGTCAAGCTGAGTTTAAAATGTATCATGAAACTCAAGGGGTGGAATGGAACTGAATTTTTTTTTACCTTTCTTTTTTTGGTACCAGGAATTGAACTCAGGACCTTGCGCTTGCCAGGCAGGTGCTTGCACCACTGAGCTATCTCCCCGGCCCTCAAGGGGTACAGTGAAGTGGGGTGTTCAGTCATCAGCCTGAAGCATGGTGAGAGAGAGAGAGAGATCCAAAGGCAGTGTTTACAGTCAGGGGTTGGAGCAAGGAGGGAGATTAGTGGCTGCTTCAGGTTGAGGAAGGAAAGGGATGGGAGAGGATCACCGAGGAACCCTGGGTTTTTCTGAGATGAAGAAAATGTTCTAAAATCAGCTGCAGTGGGCTGGGCGTGGTGGCGCATGCCTGTAATCCCAGCACTCGGGAGGCTGAGGCAGGAGGATCGATGTGAGTTTGAGACCAGCCTGGGCCACAAAGTGGGCTTAAGGCCAGCCTGAACTGCGTAGCGAGACCCTGTCTCAAAAAACCCCCAAAAATCATCTGTATGATGGTGGTATAACTTCATACATGTATTAAAAACTACTGGATTTTATACTATTAATAGGGGTGTGGATGGAATGTGAATTATATTTCCATAAAGCTATTTTTAAAAATCCAGGGGAAACAATAACTCTCCCTTTAGCATAGAAAAAGGACAGACGAGGACCAACAACTGAGATGCGAGGTTCCCTGTATTTATCAGGTAGGAAGGATGAGGGATCTGGGAACACATTCAGTTCTAATGACATTTATTACCAATGCTTCCCTCTCTGCTAGCCCGCCGCCGCATGCCACCTGCTGTGGTGCCTGAACCAGGGAAGATGCCTGCTCTCAAAGGTGAAGTCCAATTTCAATCCTCCCCTCTCCTTTTCTGGTCTGATCCTTTTCTGGTCTGATCTCCTTTCTGATCTCCCAGGAAGGAGTCAGAAACCAGTTCAGCGAGGCCTTCGTCTGTATGGATACCAAGCCACACTCTCATCATTTCTCATGATAGTGCTATGTCAAATCTCACTTCCCACCTCTTAGGGATAATTTGGGGAAGATTCCAACTTCGCAGACCTTTGTAGTTGTTAGGAAATCAGTCCTCAGCCCAGTAACAAATTACCTTCCCACAGTCTATTGCTTTGCCACTCTACCTTGGCTGTCAGGTTTTAAGGCCAGGGGAACCTGGACCAAGGAAGACAGTTAGCCTGGCTTCTGGCTGGGCCCACTTCACTGGGGAGGGTAGGCTTCCTCTTTTGGGTTTGCTTGCAGCAGGAATGAGGGAGAAGGACACAGTGATGAGGTGGGATCCTCTGTGCGGGGTGTTGGTGCTTTTCTGCCAACCCTTTGTGAAGACAATGCTCTGGCTCTGGTTCTGGCCGGATGTCTGGATGCTGGCTCCCAAGGCACCACTGTGGGGGTCTTTGGAGGGATCTTTGGGCGTGTCCCTACTGCTGAATGTACTGCTGTTAATATAAAGCCTCTCTTGTCATCCCCCTCTCCAGCAGTGCTGCTTATTCTGGTCCCAGTTGCTCCGCCTCCCCAAGTGGCTGAGCTTGGCCGCCCTGCATAGCAGCCGCTGGCCCCTAGAAAAGGTTTCTTTCTGAGCGCAGTCGGGGAGCAGTGACCTTTCTCCAATTGTCTCCATCCCCACTGAGGTCTCAGACCCTGCTACCCCAGGTGGAGACCTTGCAACTCCTCCAACCCCTTTCTCCACTTCCGACCAGAGCCCAGGCTTTGGGAAAATAGGGTGGTAAACATCCGGGTTGATGGAGGACAGGACAGAGTCAGGCCAGGGGTGTGCTGTGAAGCCCCCCACGGAAGGCTTTTGGTCCCAGTTGTTTGGCTTTCTCGGGAACTTGGGACCCTTGGTGTCTTCCTGTTGTCACGTCCAGGGTAGGCACTGCCGGGATGAGAGCTAGCTGGGATCGTAAAGTCAGCACCAGTAATGAATTAGAGGGACAGAGTTTAAGGAAGGAAGACACTTTATTTGTAAGGAAGGAAAAAGCAGAAGGCTGCTCTGAGGAGGGGCAGAGGGCTCCGGAAAAAAGGGTTCCTGCAGGTCCTTTGCTCCTGGCCTCTCTTATTAGGTGATAGACACCTTCCCTCTCTTCAAACTTGCCACAGCCTGACTGGCTTTCTGGGCTGTCTTCCGATGGAGCCCAGGCTGCAAGGCCCGAACCCAGGGACCACTGCCTTTGGGCACATCCCTTTGGTGGGCTTTGCCTGACTTCTTCCTGCCGGTTTGTCCTTGTCAGGACCTTATCTCTGGGATTTATAGCTTGGTAGGAGAAGTCTTACAGGAGGGAGACTCAAGAGAATGTGACAGTCTCTTCCTCCTTTACTCTGCCGCCATCTCCCTCCCTGACGCTGCACCTGGTCACTCAAGTCCTAGAGAAGCCAGGGCCCAAGGTCAGGGAGGACGGGCCCCACCTGTGCAGACCCATGGGGCTGTCTGGCCTGGCCCAGCACCAAGCCGGAGTCAGTCTGACCTCCCTCTCTCTCTGGCTCCTCAGGTCTGGTGACTGAGAGGAGCACATCCCTCATCCGCCTGAGGAACAACAGCCTCAAGAGTAGAACTGTTATCACAACAGGCCGAGCCCCCACCTCAGGCCCTGACACCCCCTTCACCTCTACTGCGGCTGCATTCACACCTGGGCCCCTCACCTGGGCCAGTCTCTGGCCTTCAACTGCCTTGGGGATCCTGAGGCCAACCTCTGCAACAGGCTCCAGCCTCACCAGTATCATCGTCACCATGGGGCCCAGGAGCAGCATGGGGTCCCATCCAGTGACTGCGTCTCCTGCTGGTACCAACAGTGCAGTGTCCATCCTCACCAGGCCCAGCAGCAGCTTGCCTACCTCAGGAACATGCCGTGACCGGCTACCCCCCACCAGGTACCTGCTGATGGTTGTGATTCCAGGCACGGCCCCAGCTCTTAGGGCTGGAACAGACCTCAAGGAAGAGCTGCAGCATCTGAACCCCCAGACTCCCCTTGACCTCTCCTGCCCTTTCCTGGACCTCCTGACTCCTCTCTGCCCTTTCCCTGACCTCCCTCTGGCCCTCCCTTGACCTCCCTCTGGCTCTCCCTTGACCTTTCCCTGACCTTCCCCTGACCTTCCCCTGACCTTTCCCTGACCTTCCCTGACCTTCCCCTGACTTTTCCCTGACCTTTACCTGACCTCTCCACTACTTCCTCTTACCCCCCCCCATTTGCTCCTTGCAGCTCAGTGGGGCTGCAGGTAGAGGAACACAAAGAAGGCTGAAGGGAGAGGGGTGGGAAGTGGGAAATGGGGATGCTCTAACTTGGGGTCCCCCAGAAGCCCACTCTGAGCCAGGAACTGATGTCTTATGTGGCTCTGTAGAAAGGGTGGGGATGTGGGCAGGGCAGGGAACCATTCACCCCAATAGGCACTTGAGTCCCTGAGGGGTGAGGGCGCTGGGACAGACACGCCAAGCCCTGTGTGCCATCAGGAGAGGGCTTCCTGCCACAGGTGGCCCAGAGGGCTCCAGTGACAAAGGAAGCCCCCCACCCGGCTTCACAAGCTGATATCAGCACGTGCATGTGCACATGTGTGTGTGTACACACGTGTGTGGGTGTCCCGTCCACCCATCTGTGCTGGACTTCTACGCCCTGTGCACGTAGAAATGCTGCTGGTGGGGGTGTCAGCGGTATCTACAGTGTCCACTACAGAGGACAAAGGGGGCCTGTGACATCCTCAGGCACTGAGGAGACCAGAACCACTTCAGTCACGGTGGGGCCTTTGGTGTCCTTGTCCTGTGGATGGGTGGGTCTGGGGCACCGTGGAGCAGAGACCCACGGTGCGAATGGGGCCTGGCACTTACCTGTTCCCACCCCAGGTTGCGGGAGCCCCACCTCACTGCGCTGGTGGTGCTGCTAAGCCTGCTTCCTGCACCTGTCATGCTGGCCATGATCTACAAGTTCTGGAAGAAGAAACACATGGGAAGTGAGTAGGGCTGCCCACCCACTCTCGGGTAACTGCGCCATGACTCGGGTCCCTGGGGGAGGTGTCCCTGGGCCTAAGTCCATCAGAGAACCATGAGGCATGGGAGGAGGTGGCCAGGCAGGGTGGCCCGGGGGGGACTGAGGCAGAGCTGGTGAGGGACAGGGCTGCACCAGGCACTAGGCACAGTGCACCGGGCACAGCCCTTCTTTGTCTTTCCTGCTCCCTTGTAGGCTACAGCCTGGGCAGAGGTTCTGCTGGACCCTGGACACCCCCAGTGAGAAGACAAGGCCCTGTGGGAGCCCACTTAGTCTGAGACCACTGAACGGTGCTGGGATGCTTCTCTGAGGGACCCAGAGAGGACTGAGTATTAGGGACTGGCTGCAGGAGAGGGCACAGCCCCAGGGGCAGCTGGTGCACCAAGAGCCCCGTCCTGGAGGAGAAGAAGGAAGTGACTAAGAGCTGAGGTCACAAGGGGCTGGCACTGGGGACCCCACAGCTGTCCAAGCCTGCCCTGTCCAGCCACATGTCCTCTGACAGGGCTTCTGGATGTGGCTTGCTTGGCACACATGCTGGTCACTCCATCCTGGAAGCCTGCAGAGCCCTTGCTCCCTGCTGCCACCTGGGGAGCAGCTGAAGCTGGAGATGGATCACACATGCGAGGCTGGAGCAAGGCCCATCCCCAAAGCAAAGAGTGCTCGAGGCAAGCCACGTGAACAAGCTGCTCCAGTCCAGAGATCACCAGGAGCCTGAGGCAGTGCAAGGAAACAGGTTGCTAGGCAGAGGGGTGTCGTGTGACATCAACCTGCTGAATGTATAAATAAATGCGCGGTGGTTAAGCAGCTCTTTTTCCCATCAGGAGAGGAGGCTCCACCTGGCCTCCCCCTTTCTGTATTCTGACTCTTCCTTATTACTTCATCCTCTACTGTCCTTCACCCTGAGGATTTCTGACAGCTGTGCTGGATGCAGCATATTGGCACCTGAACAGGGACTCCATGTACGGAGAAATAGCAGGGGAGGAGACACCTCTGAGAGAGTGTGTGTGAACAAAACCAGGCTCTAGAGAATCCTAGGGGAGAGGGTTGGGTTGATATTGACTTCATCAGGTGTAGAACTCGGGTCAAAAGTTAGCTCGTTAGGGCAACAGTTGTAAATAGAAATGCTTACTGGGTTATTGATTCCCAAATGTACTTTTTTGTTGTGGTCCTGGATTAGGGAGTATCTTGAAGATTGTAGGTTTATTGAGACCACCCCAGAGAATTTTGCTCAGAGCACTATTTTAAAACTAAGTCTCAAGCAGAAAAAAAGGGGGCACAGCAACAACTCCCCTGATAGGATTTAAATCCTCTAGCTTTGGTCAATTAGATAAGGGAGGAGCTGCGCCGGACAAAAAATAGCTAAAGCATGTTTAAGTTCGGGACATTATTGTGGAAGGGAAAGTTTTTGATCTGTGCATGGATCAGGCCAGCTGTGCAGCTGGATCAGCTCAGCACAGCACCATGGGAGACAGAGATGCAGGACATGTGGAGAGAGGGGTCCATGCTCCAGCCTTTCCATGCCCATGGCCCCTTGCACCCCACACTCTGCTCAGAGCCACAGGAGCCCGGGCAGTTCAAATCAGAGAAGGGACAAGCCAGAAAAAAATGGCAGCTCTGGCTGCAGAGGTGGTGACTGGGGGATGCTGGCAAAGCTGACCTGGAGATGGAGCCCATTCTCAGCAGTGAGGCAGGCACTGAGCACCTCCTGGTCACCACCGCTGAAGCATCAGTGCGGAATGCCAAGGCTGAGGGGCAGTAGTCCTCCCCTCAGGTCGATGAGTCACCAGGGCAGCTTGCCCAAAGCCCTGAGGCTGCAGGGCAGAGCCACAGCCAGAGGTGAGGGCAGAGCCACAGCCAGAGGTGGGAGCAGAGAGCAGGAGCCCTGGGGGACCGAATACAGGATACTGGTTTCTCTTCTGCACTAAAGACTGACTTACAGGCTGTTATATGGGCCTTGCAAGATTATTCATCCACTCCCATTAACCTCTTTTCAGACGGTGCTTGTGTTTGCAGTGTGGTGTGCCAGATTGGAGCTGCCACCCTACACACTGGCCGAAGGGTCTTTTTCATTTGTTTTGCACACTCTTCAATTTGTATTTGGTCTTGCCATGTCCCCTGTTTTGTTGGTCATTTATGTTCTCATTCCCAATAGCTGGGGCCTCTCACTGAGAGAAAAGCTACAGTAGATAGGTTGCCAGCTACTGTCACTGTTACTTCCTCAGATGCCATTCAACAGGCTTCTGTTTCCCATGCCACTTTCCATGAAAGCAATTCTGCCCTGTGTATACAGTTGTGTTTAAGTCGGGAACAGGGTTGACAAATTACGAAACCATGTTCGTCATGTTTAATACGTCTTCCCTCACTCACCATGGGGAATCTCTGAGTTTCACCCCAATCATCTCTGGAAGATAGATGTTATTCACGTTCCTCAGTTTGACTCTTTATGCTGGGTCCACGTTTCAGGAGATACTTCCTCAGGATTTATTTTTGCTTCTGTCCACACTGGTGAAGTGGCTAAACGTCATTGTTTGGATGCTTTCAGTACCCTTGGCTGCCCACTTAAGACTGACAGTGCCCCAGCTTATCTGAATGCTGCCTTCCAAGCATTTTGCAAAACTTTTCATATTTCCTTTACCATGGGAATTCCTTATAATACTCAAGGTCAAGGAATTGTTGAGTGTGCTGATCGCATGCTCAAACTCCAACTACAAAATCAAAAGGGGGAATCCTTCCCTACAAAATTCACACCTCATAATAGACTTCACTTGGTAGTATATGCTATTAACTTTTAAAATCCTACTAGGGATGGGACTACAGCAGTAGAAAGATAATTCAATCAGGTAAAGGAGAAAAGCTAGGAAGGTCCTTTGGAAAGATCTTCATACTAGACAATGGAAGGGACCCACCTCACTACTCACTTAGGGTAGAAGGTATGCTTGTGTCTTTCCAGAGAACACCGAATAGCCTATCTGGGTACCAGAGCATGCTGTCTGACTGTATCATGGACCCAGACCCAGAGAAGGAGTTGATTCCACCTCTCAAGAAGCTGATACTTAGTCTTGTGGCAATGATTCTCTGGAGACCTTGCCACAGCCAATAGACAGGGATGGGGCTAGACCCAAACTGGAGCCAATTAAAAGAATTGACCCAGGATTCCCGGGAGATGGCAGCCAATAATGGGAATCAAAGGTCTGAGTAGGTGATGGAGTATATAGAGATAATTGAGCTCAAAGTTACATGAAAGAAAGGGACACAAAAGTTAATAGTATTTCTAAGATAAAATAAAATACAAACACATTAATTGCAGATAAAAGATTTTGTTCCTTCCAAATTCTTCTTGTAAGAGATCTCTGCTAACTGACCTATAGAAAATCTGACCAGTGTATTTATAATTACAAACTTCTAAAATTATAAAAGAGTTATTATAATGCAATTTGGCAAAAATATATTTGAGCATACTGTGATATTATAAGCAGATTGTCTGTGTTTTTGTTTCTTTGTTTGTCATATCTGTGAACAGCTGTTTTTTATTTGAGTTCAACAATTTTTTTTCTCTTTTCCTTCTGCATTTTTGGATCATTTGTTCAAAGTTTAATTTCAGTTATAGATTTAAAAAGCATGCTTCCACCTGGGTTGCCAGGTTGTCAATATGATATCAAAATTGGTTTTCTCAGAGGTCATCAGAAATTGGAACTATTTGGGCTTGGGGAATTATTGTTCAAGCCTCCCTTTGATGCATAAGAAAGCAGCTGCCTGGAGATATTTGTCTAGTTCTTGTTCATTAATAGGGAACCCCAACAATCTCTATAGCCTTATGGGAGACATCCCAATAAGTGTTATTAAAAATATATTATTGTGAGATGTTTACATTGGTCATCATCAAAAGATTAAGTTTTCTAGAAATGAAACAATAAGGTTTTTTGATTTAAAGGTTTTCATATGGCTATGATGATTGTTATTAATCTTGTGGTGTATTAAATGTATTCATGCCTTCAGATGCATAGGTCTTTCAAAATGTAAAACAGGGATTATTTATAGTGATAGATTTTTCTTTCAGATCATACATGGTTCCTTTCTTTTGTGCTCCAGTTACTTGTGATAGGAAGTTCATGTCAAAACAACATGATGTCACCAGTCAATAATATTAACAAAATTTATGTGACGTACATCCCATTAAAGGTCAACAAGTTAGGTAAAAGCTCCTTATGTACTAGATAGGGATAAGTGACTAAAAGGGCTACTTTATGTCAAAATGTAAATTCAGGTGTGTTACAAAAATGACATCCTGACTGTGATGCTACACTATCATGCATGGCTTTTGATTTCTAATTTTCTGTGTAAAATATACAACCCTTTTCTGTTAACATTCTACAGGGACTCAAACACAAAATACCTGTGGTTGGTATGAAATAATGGTGCTATTTTGTATAATATTAAGCTCACTGTTCCCAATACAATGTAATGTCATTAACCTTCTCTTCTGGATGTTCAACAACTGAGGTGTAGAGATCAAAAACTAGACAGATAGATGGACTAGAAGGACAGATAATATTTTGGCTCCAGCCCTCAGAGGTCAGTAAGGACTCAGAACATGAGGGAAACTTTTAGTGACATCCTACAACTCTGGTGGGTTATACAAACTCTTGACCAAGGAGATTGTAGGATCACAGAGGAAAATGATCAATGATGTATAGTGTGCCTAAGGAGAGTCACCAGGAGAGAAAATATCCCCTGCTTTCACAGAGAGGAACTTGGTCAAGCAATGCCTATGGCTCATCCAGATGGCTGACATTGACAGGAGAACTAAAAGGTGCTATGTGTGGTTCCAAGGTAATTCCTGGGGGGAACTAACTGAACTTGACAGACAGCAAAAAATAATTTTAATTAACACAGGTCTCACCTTCACTTGGTTTTGAACATCTAGCTAAAAAGTATAACTATAAGAGGTACAAGGTAATGCCATGGTAATATGCTAGCTATAAAAGAAACTCAAATCACTAACACCTTCTGACAGTTTCCAGCTGTACTGGTAACTGACTATGTACTGTTATGGATTAATGGACAGTAGAGAGTTATGTTCCTGAATGCAAGGACTTGACATTCTTCTTGGGCTGGGAACCTTTAGCCTAAACGAGTAAGTTCAGTCTGAATGGAAAGGGTTCAAGGGTGATAAGGTCCTCTGTAGAGTCCTCCAAACACGGCTCCTCCAAATTCAACTGACCACCCATTGCTTGCAACTACAAAACAGGAAAGGAAGAGATGTGGGGAGTGGGTGAAGCTGGAGATCAATCACATGTGTGGGGCTGGAGCAAGGTCAGTCCCAAGAATAAAGAGCACTTGAGGTGAGCCACATGAACAGGCTGCTCCAGTCCAGAGAACACCAGGCACCTGAGGCAGTCCAAGCAAACAGAGGAGTGTCACGTGACATCAACCTGCTGAGTGTATGAATAAACGTGCTTCGGTGGTTGAGCAGTTCTTTTCTCTTATCAGGAGAGGAGGCTCCCTCTGGCCTCGGCTTTCTATATTCTAACTCTTATCTTTATTTCTTCATCTTCTACCATCCTTCACCCCAGGAATTTTTGAGAGCTGTGCTGGATGCAGCAGATACCTACCACCGTCCTGCCCCCTCAGTGGCTGAACTTGGGGGCTCTCCTCCACAATATTCCCATGGCCTGGTGCCAGGTCTGAGTTCCTCAGGTCAATGAGGAGCCAGCAGCCTCTGACAGGGTCCCTCACTTGGCTCACAGATTCTGGTGGGGAGGACAAGCTTGGCTCAGAAAAAAGGTGGGTCACCTCTTATCCTTAGCCATTTGCTGTCCCCTGGGAAAGAAGGCCCACTTGGGACACAGTGAAGACAACTCGGAGCTGACTACAGCCTGGAGGAGGGGCCCAGGTGGGGGTTAGGAAGTAGAACCCCACAGCTTCTGGCCAGGGTCCAGTGGCCCTGGAGTCTGCCACCTGCCTGCTCCCTCTGCCTCAGACTCGACCTCTACCATCCAGCCCAGCAGCTGAGGCTGCAGCGTGCTGACCAGATTCTTCCCTGGGGAGGGATGGCCTTCAGCCTGCAGTGACTGGGGTAGCCCCTGGGGGGCAGTGTGACACCTCTGCTCTACGCTGTGAGAACGCCGTAGAACCTCAGGGTGGAAGAGCAAGCACCGAGGTCAGAAGGATGACTTCGTAGAGGCCTTGAAGGGTAGCTGATGCAGACACCGCTGGGTGGGGCAGGTGGCAAACCTGGGGGACAGCAGGGAGGATGCCTCTCTTCCCTATGTCCAGGAGAGGGAAGCAGAGGGAAGACTTGGGCTGAGCCACTGAGCCCTAGCTCCAGGACAGACGGATGCACAGACACGTGGACATCCATTCCCACCCAACCAGCACCACGCCGAGAGCTGCTGTTGCGGTGTAACCGGGAAGGCCAGCCTCACGGGGGCACCAGCTCCACTGTGACTCTGCGCAGCACCCTTGGTGGCCCAGACGGCCCCATCTCATGGACAGCCAGATGCCCAGCGGGGAGAGCACTGGAAAAGTCAGGGATGAGGACTGGTGGTGCCGTTGTCACCGTGCTGTTGTCAGCCTAAGCAGGTCACTACCCCACCTGGGCTTCATTTCTCCCCTCATGTGCAAGGGGCCCACAGTTCCTACCTCTCAGGTTGTCTCCAGGAGACCGTGAAAAGGTGGTGGCTTGTCAGTGCCGTCCTTACTGCCCCCTGGCTGTGGTTCCATGTGGCTGCATCGGAGACCCGAGGGCCCTGTTTCTGTGTCCTCCTTCCTCCGGTCTCCTCGCTACCTGGAGGCTGGCGTCCCGTGGGTGAGGGCCCCTTGGGAGGGGTGAAGGTACAGGGGTGGGTGATGGTGCTGAAACAGAGGCCTAGATTCAAAGCCTGGCACAGCCCCAATCTCAGTGTGACCGTCACAAGCCACTGTCCCTCTCTGATCCTGTTTCCTCACCTAGAGGAGGATGAATACGAGCTTGGGGGTGGGGGTACTGGGGATTGGACCCAGGGCCTTCACACTGAGCTACATCACCATGTGCCCAAAATAATTTTTTTATTTTGAGACAGGGTCTCACTAAGTTGCTAAGTTGCCCAGGCTGGACTCAAACTTGCAATCTTCCTGCCTCAGCCTCCTAGTGCTAATATGACAGGCCTGCGCCACCATAGCTGGCTGAGATGAGCTTGGCAAACCCTCAACATCACTTCTGAGATCAAGGATTGTGCAGATCAGTTGCCCGTATGCAATTCAGCCTTGGGGGAAACCAGGGTGCAGGGAAGGGGAGGCAGCCAGGCCTGGCCACGGTGGGCTCAGGGCTCTGAGGGAAGCAGTCTTGGCATGGTCGGTACAGCCTGCACCTGGCTCTGGGCAGAGGCCACAGTGTAGGGGACAGGAGGGGGTCAAGTCCTCCAGAGAGGGAAGTGCTGGGGATCCCACAGGCTCAACAGTCAGGGAGGCTCCACAGAGTGTGGGTACAGGGGCCACGCAGGCTACCACATCAGGGAGCCCTGGAAGGGGACAGCAGGGCAGGCACAGCTGGTCAGTGCTGGACGCAGCTGGAGGAACCGTGGGAGCAGAGCCCATCTCCCAGCGACGATGGGCCTGGGGGCTCCCTCTCGGCCCTGCAGAAGTTCCTCCCTCCTTCCTGTCCTCACCGTCTTCCAGCTCAGAGGACCCAGCCGCTTCATGGGCAGGGTGTGTGGGGTAGCAGACCGCCAGGCTCAGGGCTCTCTTAGTGGGAGACAAGGACGCTTCCCGGGCCACAGGCTGCCACAGTGACCCCAAGCCCCACCGAAGGAGGACACTGCCAGCAGATGTCAGGTTCACAGTCACTGTTGGGCCCTCCTTCATGCCTGGTGCTGGGTAGGGGAAGAAGCCCCGCGGTTGGCCCTCAAGGGACTGCCTCACTGAAGCGGGGTCTCCACCTTGGCCAGTCCCAGGGGCCTTGCCAGGAGGCCTGGGCTCCCGACGCCTGTGCTGTGGCCCCTTCTCCTGCCCTGACCCTCTCCCCGTGTCGCACAGACTGGTCCCCGCCACCCCATCTGCACACTTACAGCTCCTTTCTTATTTTTTATTTTGACACGGGGTTGTGCTAACTCACTAATTTGCTCAGACTGGACTCGAACTTGTGGTCCTCCTGCCTGGGCCTCCCAGAGTGCTGGAATTAAAGGTGTGTGCCGCCGCGCCCGGCTGCTGCATACCTTTGTACAGGTCTTTTCTGTTTTGAGGTTCATTCGCTCATTCCATAGCTCACCCAATTACCTTAAACGAGCGCCCGATTAGCACAGCCTTTCCGTGGAGGCTTCCCGGGGAACCTGGTGGCTGGGTGCTGGGTGTGGGGATGACCGGGAGGGGGAGGCTCCCCTTCTCCTCCGCTCCTCTGTTGTGCTGCCCTCTGTCCCTCTTTCTGGCTCTGTCTTCTCCCGCCCTTCCTCAGTTTGGTGCTCTACTCCCAAGGCCCTTCCTGGAAAAGGCTCTACACCTCCTTTCCCCTCCTTCCGGTCCCCTCCTGCCCTGGGGACTAGTGGTACTTAGGACCCTTGTCAGAGCTCCCAGGTCCCCTAGCTCTGTCCCCAGAGCTGAGGGGAGGGAGTGTGGGGGAGGAGCGTGGCGGAGGAAGTAGCGGCCTAGGAGGAGAAATAGGTTTCGTCAGAGCTTCCTCTGAGTTTCCAGCTTCGTGGTCACACCCTAAGGGGAGGGAGGTGGCCTGGCGAGGGGAAGAGGCTGGGCCCTGGGGAGACCCAGACCCAGGCCCAGAGGTGGACCCTGCAGCTGGAGGCCTCTCTGTCCTCCCCGGGGTTCCTGCTGTCCACGGAGGGCTCTGCTGTGGGCAACTCATCCTAAGGCTCGGGGCGGCTGGGCTGAACGCCATCCAGCTCCTGTCCCCTGTCCTTGGGACTTCCCCGGCCCTGCCCTGCTTAGGAAGAGGACTCATGGCCCGGGAGGCCTCACACCTGCTGTCCTCCATGCTTCTGGTGCTTCTGGCCTCGGGTGAGGGGCAGGGGCGAGGGCGGGGGGGAGGAGGCCCACGGGGGACTCCGAGAGTGCGGGTGGGAGAGGCTGGTTTAGGGGAGACTGGGCGCTCTGTGCGTGGCCCTGGGGAACATCCTGAGTGTGACCATGGTGACAGTTGTTCCCCAAGGAGGGAGGCTCCACCACGTAGCCTTGCGTGAAAGCTGGGGGCTCCCTGACCTGAGCGTGTGTTCACAGGCTCCTGGGCCCAGGACATGAAGTTTGAAATTCTGAAGGAGGAGGGTGAGACACTCTTTGTGAGTTGTTGGTACAGCAAATACCAAAGCACAATGGTAAAAGCCTGGTGTCGGACAACGTCAGTGGATTCTTGTAACATACTAGTGAGCAGTGACCAGACTGTGGATCCACGATGTTCCATCAGGGTTGATCCCAGTTATTACAGGTTCATGGTCACCATGACTAGGCTCAGGGAACAAGACTCGGGAACCTATTATTGCGGAATCTATAAAGATCGGCAGATCAACATTCTCAAAACCGTGCACCTGGTGGTGTCTAAAGGTGAGTTTTCCTCTGTTGTACGTGTGGGCCCCAGCCTTCTTGACCCAGCAGGTGGCAGAGCTGGTCGGGTGGGGGAGACACACTAGACATCCTTCCCTCCAACTTTCTCCTGGCTCAAGCCTGAGGCTCGAGGTCACGTGCTGGTTGAGGACAGAACCAGCACTAGAAGTCAGGCCTGCTGGTTCTCAGTCTATTCTTCCACATTACAGGAGCTTCTGAACACATGTGTGGCCGCTAACAGGCCTCCTGCACTTGCTCAGGGAGCTCTTAGAACTTCCCCGAGTGTCACCACCGTTGCTGTGAAGGTCCATTCTTGGGCACCCTTACTTGAGTCTAAACCCAACCCCCCTCAAAGGACTATGAGGTCCATTGCACGGAGAAGGGCACCCGGGGGTGGGAGAAATGTGGACAGGCAGGGTTAGCTGGACAGCGAGGCAGACCTGAGACTTAGGGGGTGAGGCTGGGGGGTGGGCACAGGGGGCACCTGCCCCTAACAATCGAGAGCCTTTAAGCTTTGGAATGCGAAGTTTGGGGTTCCTGCAACCCAGAGGCCTCTGTGTATTCCTGAGAGCTACAGAGGTGCCGGGTTTCCTGAATTTACTCCTGATATTCAGAGCTTGATGTGCACCGTCGGGGGCCTCCCTGGTGCTGAGCCTGCCTGGCTACTTGGATTCATGATGCCTGAAGGTCATTCTTTGCCCAAGATTGGGCTCGGTGCCCAGTCCACAGTGCCCTCCAGGGCCAGGAATGGGCTCTGGTTACCCAGGTGTGGCGGGGAGACAGGTAGGCACCCCACCTATTGTCATCTCTTATAGCTCCAGCCCCACGCACCACCAGGAGCACTCAGAGGACCATGATGGTCACAGCCTCAGCCTCTGCCACCAGCCCTGCTACTGACAGGTACTGCCAACCCCTCCCATCTGTCTCTTCCCCCACCTCTGTGCCTGATGCCTCAACTCCCACTCTGACAGATTCACCAGCTCTCAGGGGATGGAGTCTGGGTCAGATGGGTCACCTCGGGTCACTTTTCTTGGCCTCAGTTTTCTCATCTGCAAAAGGGGAACAGTAGCCTCCCCCTCTTACATCAAGGTTCGTCACTCTCAGCCCTGTGGGCATCTGAGCCAGCTGGTTTCTTTGTCCTGGGTGCTATGCTGCATTGTTGGACGTTGGGCCGAGTGTTTGGCCTTTACTCATTGGATGCCAGGAGCACAAACTTCCCCCTGCCAGAATGCTTCCATATTGCCAAATGAGCTCTGGTGGACATGGTTACCCCACCTCACGACCCTATCTTCCTAGTTGCTGTGAGGATTAAGGGTGGATTTGAGTGACCCAGCCCAGGGCAAGACACAAGGCCACACCACAGCGGTCTAGGGAAAGGGGATGGCCTGAGTTATTAAACCCGCAGCCTGACTTCTTCCCACCCCTGCCTGATTTCTCCAGGCCCCAGGCCCTTGGCTGTTGTCTGACCCTCTCTCTTCTCACCATCCCCACAGACCTGTGAACCATTCCTTGTCAAGAGATAAAGCCGCTAACCTAGGCATGGTGGGGATGCCTGTAACCCCAGCGTTCAGGAAGCTGAGGCAGGAGGATCAACATAGCCTAGGCTACATAGTGAGTTCAAGGTCAGCCTGGGCTACATAGTAAGACCCTGTCTCAAAAAACCAAACCAAACCAAACTAACAAAAAAGCCAGTAACCAGGTAATAGTGATCCGCTGAGCTGAGAAATATTGCTGGAACCACCCCTCTTCCCTTCTGGGCCTAAACCTTACTTCAAGGTCTTTGAGGGCACTAGAGTGTCTACTTTTGTGTCTTTCCATTAACTTGAGACATTCTTTATTTTCTCTGCAGTACTGGGGATTGAACTCAAGGCCTTAGCACTGAGGTACATCCCAGCCTATAAAAATTTTTTTAAGTTGCCCAGGCTGGGCTCAATCCTCTGCCCTTAGCCTCCCAGAGGGCTGGGATTGAAGGTGTGTGCCACCACGCCCAGTCCTAGGCAGGACCTCTGGAAGTGTGCCCTGAGGGCTGACCACAAAATTCACAGAGAAGGGCTGGGGAGGAGCAGCTGGTTGAGGACTGGTTGAGGGGTGGAGGCTGGGAGGGTACAGAGCCTCCAGCAGAGGCTGCAGGAAAGTTAGAGGCCATGGGCAGAAGCGGGAAGGAACAGGCGGCTGCTACCTGCTGGGGACCCGGGAGAGGCAGGAGGCCAGGAGGCGCGGTGTGACCACAGGCAGTGAGGCTGGCTGACTCCCCTCCCCCTCTTCTTGCCCCTAAGTGCTCCAGGAGACTGGAAGTGGAAGGGGATCGTGGTGGGCGTGGTGGTGGTGGTGGTGGTGATCCTGCTGCTAGGCCTCAGCGTTCTCACAGCCCTGTACCTCAGGAAACCTGGAGGAAGAGCCAGGAAAGGTGAGCCTGCGCGGCCACAGGTGCTCGGTCATGGGGACAAGGTTTATCGTGCTCATTCACCAGGGAGGACACCGAGGCCCCAGAGGGAGAGTGTGCAGGTAGCTCGCTGAAAGCCAGCTGGCTACCTCCACGCCCACTTGGCTACAACCAGGTGTGCCGGGACCCACTCTGGATCACAGACTTCAAAGCCATCTTTATGGTTAAGGACTTTTGAACGAGTTTACGTAAAGACTTTACCAGTGAAAGGCATTTTAAACACGTGTTCTCATTGTAAAATTTTGTTTTCCTCGGTGTGGGGGGACGAAAAGGGAGGTAGCTGTAGGTAGAAGGGTAGGGAGTGGCACATGTGTAGGATGAGTAGGTCAAAAGCTCTAAGGACGTCCTGTGCTCACCTTGACTCTTTCTCGCAGGTAAGAAGGACTCCCACCACATCTACGAGGACCTTCCAGCCCAGAAGGAGGCCACTGTGAGTAGCGATGTCCCCTGCTGGGAAACAGGGGGCCGAAGCGCCCCTGTGTCCCCATCCTATTTCAGTTCCCCAGCCGGCACCAACTTGCGGTTTCTATTTACCCTGAATCTTGACGCACGGGCTCGTGACCGCTTGTGCCCTGGCGGCCTCACGGCCCAACCACAAGGCTGCTTTCCCAGATTTCCCAACGCCAAGCTGAGAGAGAGGTTGGCTAATCGCTGCGCCCCCGGCGTGCTCCCGGGTGCCCTCTCGGCGGGCACTCAGCGGTCTCCCTTGGCTGGGTCTGCCCCGTCTAAAGTCCCGCAGCCCTTCGAGGTGCAGGACTGCAGGGCCCTGTGGCCCTGTGGTCCGACCCCCGGCGTCAGGCCGGCATCAATCCCACGGTGCCGCCCCTACCGCACACTCAGCTGAGCGCTCCTCCAGCTTGGGCGTGCACAGCAGTCACGCGGAGAGCTTGATAAACAGGGCTCGCTGGGGCCGCTCCAGGTTCTATGCTTCGACAGCTCTGGGTTGGTGCTGGTGCTGGATTTGGAACAAGCTCCGGGCTGCTGGTGTTGCTGGCTGCCTGGCCTCCTTAGACACTTTCCCTGGGGTGAAAGTAGCTTTTCCTGGACCCGCATTCCCAGAGGTGTCCAAGGGCCGCTGACCACTGCAGCCGTGATCTGTTCAGCAGACTTCTGTCTGCCTGCCTTTATTCCCAGGACTTCAGTCAGCCAGCTGTCTCTGACCAGGTCCTGGGGACCATCCACTACGCCTCCCTCATCCACCTAAATCACTCTGGCACCAAGGACCCCACTGACTCCAACAGCGCCCTCCCGTCCGTGGAATATGCAAACATCGCTGGACACAGGCCCCAGCCCTCCGTGCCCCCCACCCTTGATGGGGAGCCCCAGAACTGAGGGCAGGCGGGGTTCACCGGGCAGCTGGTGTTTCTTTGGGGCTCACTGTGTGCAAAGCTACTCTGCCTGCAAAGAGGCAGCTTGCGTAGCGGATGTGGCCAGGCTGGTCAGGGCCCACGTCCTCCAGCAGGGAGGGAGGAAGGAGTAGGTGAAGGAAAACTCTGGGCATAGCAGAGGGGTGTCTGGCCCTGCTCGGCTCCCCAGGCCTGGGAAGATCTCCCAGGGCAGAGTCCCCAGGACAAGGGCCCGTTCTCCCCTCTCTCTGTGCCTGTCACTTCCTTCCTGGCCAGGGTATGGGCACCCGGTGGGTTGTGCAAGTCCCTCTGTCGCTACCTCTGAGGCCTGGACACCCCAGCTCCTCTCTCGCTGGCTTCCTGGCACCAACTCCTCTGCTGTCCTGGATCCTCACAACCCTGCCGGGAAGAAGGCTGGGCCGTGGGCGCTGTCCACTGTCTGAATGTCTCCTGGAGCTCCGGCCTTTGCCAGGCAGGGTGGGCAGGGAGCTTCACTGCCAGCGGCCATGCACACAGCTCCTCTTCGGAGATTTGTCCACCCTGCCGCCTACACTTCCCTCGCAGAGCACGGGCTCAGGGAAGCCTTCTGCCCAGCCCAAGAAGTCCCGGGAACCAGGGTCCATTCTTAATTCCCCACTTCCCAGAAGTGACAGAACGCAACTTGGGGACTCCAGGCCAAGTGGGCAGGAGGGTGGGAAGGAGGGGAAGCTCCTGTCACCTGACTGTGACATCCTTGCTGCCACCATCTGTCTTCCAGGGTCCCCATGTGGGGCTGAGGTTCTCTCCCCAGCCGCGGGCTCCACGGAGACGCAGGCTATCCCTGCATGCGAGCCGCCATTTGGGCTGGGGGAGGTGGGCACGGGGAGGGAGCAGGGTGCTCTGAGTGTTGCCCTGGCTCCTGGGTTTCACGCTGTGCTGCCTGCGGTCCCTTCTTCCTGGAATCCAGAGCTGAGCGTTAGAGGCCAGCGACTCTGCGCCTGACCGCCCCCGGCCCAGCCTCACTCTGAGGAGGTCCCTAGCGCTGACCTGCAGCCTCGTGCTGCCTCCGGTCCTTCGTGACTCTCCACTGCCTGTGCTCTTGGCCCACGTGCCCACGGGGCTCCTGTCTCATCCTTCCAGGTGCCCCCAACCTGGGTCTCCTGCAGCACCAGGAGCCATGCGAGGCTGTCAGATCCCCAAGGATTTTCTCTGGTCCTCCTGGAGCTGACTGATATGTATTCACAAACAAGTTTTTAACATAGCTGGGCACCTGGCCCTGAGCTGAGGCTTCTGAGATTAAGTCTAGGAAGCCAGCAGGATGGAGTGACAGCCCGTGCCAGACTGAGGCATGGCTTGAACATGTTTGTGAGTGAGGTACCTGCTCCACTGTACAGAGGGAGAAATTCAGGTACAGAAAGGTTAAGTAATTTCCCAAGGTTACATAGCTAGTAAATGGTGGACCCTAGGCCCCAAAGGGGTAAGCGTGATGCTTCTGGGTTCCAGTCCACTGTGGACCTGCGTGTGTGTGTGTGTGTGTGTGTGTGTGTGCGCGCGCGCGCGCGCGCGCGCACACTTGCGTGTGCATGTATGCATGAGTGTGCAGGGTAGATGTGTGAATAATAGCAACATAGCCTAGGAGAGGGTGTGGAACACGTGACCTTTTGTGAGAGAAAATCTGTGAGGTCACCTCTGTGTGGTCAAGAGACCTCAGCTTAGACATTTGTGAAGAGCGATTCCCCCATTAACCAGTGGCCAGGGATGAGAGGACTTGGGATCCTCCTTCCCTTCCTGAGCCTCCCCCAGGGATGGGGCTCCTTGCACTGCCCCCCAAGTCCCCAAAGTGCCTTTCCAGAGCTGTGACCTCAGGAACATGTACCCCTTCCTACCTCAGTGCCCACATACCATGTGACCAGGCCCATGGTAGAGGTACCCCAGGAGGAGGAGGAGGAGGAAGAGGAGGATTGGGGGAGGGGTGCTACCTTGGCCCCCGGAGCCCCAGCAGATTTGAGTCCCCTGTGAGCAGCACCCCCAAATCTGCAGAGCAGGGTGTGTGTGTGTGATATGCTACGTAAAGTTGTTAGCCACCAACTTCTATTCTACTTTGCAGTGGTTGTTTCAAGCTATTAAGTCTCGTGTGATCGTTTGTTATGTAGTAACCAAAAAATCAAAACAAAGAGCGGAGACAAATTTGGGAAACAAGGCCACCGGGGAATGGAGATGGCTTTACCCCACCAGAAACCAGGCTACCATAAGCAGTAATAGTCACTGTGCCATCCTGGAACGGAAGTGGGCAGAGGCGAGGCACAGACCCATGCGTATGCGAAGCACGACGTCAGACGGAGCAGGTTCTGAGGTGCGGACGGAGATCAGAGTGGTTAATGCGCTGACACAGCTGTTTATCCATAGGTGGAACAAACAGTGACAGTCCTCCCTTATGTTTTACACAAACATGGATCCCAGATGGGTTATAAACCTAAATGTGTGTAGCTAGCAAACAATAAAATGTTTAGACAAAAATGTAAATGTTCTTATGACTTTAGGGTACAAGGACATCAGAAGCTCAAACCATAAAGGTAAACAGTGTCGCAGATTTGACCCTCTGAAAGTGGAAAAGAAAATGCCAGGAATACAGTGATCCCTCACCTATCGCGAGAGTTGAGTTATGTTGCAGAGACCCCCCGCGATAGGTGAAAATCCGCGAAGTAGCTGTTATATTTATTTCATTATTTTTATATATTTTAAGGTTTTATAAACCCTTCCCACATGCCTATAAGCCTTTCCCACTCTCCTGTTAACGTTTCCCACACTCTTATAAACACTTCATATGCTCTTAAACACTTTCTACACTCTTAAACCTACATAATTTTAACAACATGTAAAATTCTATATGGGTCCTTGATGTGGACAAGGAGAGATGCTGAACGTATGGGCACAGTGTGCGAGAGCAAACAGACCGACGCTATGGTCACTGAGCCAATCAGCACCCAGGATACAGAACACAGAGCTGTGGTTGGTGGCTTTCCATTCCATCAGCCAATAGTGTGTCGTGTACAATCTCACGTTGGCAAACTTCTGCAAGTGGTAGAGGCATACTGCATTTCCATTGTGTACACTATGGTATTCATCCACTGATGAAATACATACTGTATTTTATTTCAATGTAGTATTCTTTTAATATGTTTGAATTGACATTTTTTACATTTTTGTATTGTTTTAAAATTTTTAGGCAAAATAATTAAAATCATGACTATTATATAAGTACCTAAATACCACAAAATCCCACGATACAGTGAAAATTCCGCGGTACAGAATTAGATATATATTTTTTTTAAAAACCCTGCGATACAGTGAAGCCACAATAAGTGAACTGAGATATATCAAGGGATGGCTGTTTGTTTTTTTTTGTTTGTTTTTCGTTTTTCTTCCGGTACCAGGAATTGAACTCATGACTTTGCGCTTGCCAGGCAGGCGCTTTGCCGCTGAGCTAAATCCCCAGCCCCTCAAGGGATGGGTGTAATCAGAAAAGATGAGCCACAGACAAGGGCCGGAAGTGTGCAGAGCATTCAATGATAAAGACTTGTGTCCAGGAATTATACCGAGCTCACTCATATCAGTAAAAAGGACAGATCTTTTCCAGTTTGCATGTAGGTAAAAACTCACAAAGGCCAAGAGATTTTGAAATAAATCTCTCAATATCAGCTTTCAGTCCTTAAGGAGCCTCCCAGGGTCCAGACATCTGTCCATCTTCTCCCTGATACCTGATCTTGCCTCTTCTGTGGAGCTCCCTTCCCGTGTGCATCCCTGCTAGACCTCTCCCAGCTCCCTGCTCTGCCCACCACGACCTCCTGTGTCTATGCTACTGCAAGCCCGGCTTTGTGGTGCTCCTGCCTTTGCTGGGGTTTCAGTCTAGAAAATTCTGGCTGACACCAAGAAAAAGCCATCAAAAATACCTTAAGAGTTTATCCTGTCCTTCAGGAAAACACACAAGTTTGTGTTTTCCAAGTCCGTATTTATCTTGCTGTCAGTGCCTGGCAACTGACTTCTCCTGCCTCCCATTCAAATCCTCAAGCCCGTTTTTCCTGGATCTTGATCCCTTCCCCTTCTCCCTGGGAGGTCCGTGGTGTCTCCACTGTGGGGGATAGATCTCCTCAGCTAGAAACTTAAGAATCAACAAGGTGGGCCTCAGGGGTGAAAGTGTGGGCCCCCAGATCTCTCTGGTCCCTGGTGTTTTAGCTCAGATGTGTCAGGGGTTGAGATCTCTGAGGCTGTGGGGATGGTGTGAAGGTCTGGGGCAGGACATTCATTAAAGGTGAGGCCTGCTACAAGACGGGGACCTTGGACCATAAAAGATTTGAATCATTCAGCACTTGGGAGGCTGAGGCAGGAGGATCCTTGCAAGTTTGTGACCAGCCTCGGCTACAAAGTGAGCTCAAGACCAGCCTGAACTGCATGGTGAGACCCTGTCTCAGAAACACAAAAAAAAAGCCAGGCGTGGTGGCGCATGCCTGTAATCCCAACACTTGGGAGGCTGAGGCAGGAGGATCGCTGTGAGTTCAAGACCAGTCTGGGCTATAAAGTGAGCTCACGGTCAACCTGAACTGCACAGCGAGACCCTGTCTCAAAAAGAAAAAAAAAAAAAAAAGATTTGGATCACAAGTTAAACAGAGTCAGCTTACTAAATCTTTTGGAGTATTCAGATTCACTTCCCAATATTCCACAAAACATTAATGTCTTAACAGACATTAGTGTCCTGTGAAAAAAATCCATGCTGTTAATATATTTTCCCCAAATATTTTGATAAGAATAAGTGTGGCATATTTATCAAAATTTGTAAGAGCCAACTCTTAACATCTGTGGATAAGAACTGATTAAATAAATTATGCTATACCGCACTGTTCTATATAGGTATCATAAAGAATAAAGTGCAAACAGACTTGTCGATAGGGAAAGAGATCCCAGGTATATTGTGAAAAGTGCAGGTTAAATAGATAATATAGTTAGCATGAGCTCATTTCTGTGTGTAACCACAGGAAAAAAGTCCATGTGGACAAACACCAAAATATGAATAGCGATTATCTTTGGAGCACTGGAATCAGAGGGGTGGAGGAATATTCTTTTTTTTTTTTTTAATTTTTATTTTAAAGAATAAAAGAAGGATAACATAATAATAGGGGGGACTTAGCAAATTACAGACAAAATGGTAGGAAATTATCAATGGTTATCGTTTTACATATTATTATCTACAAAATAGTTTCTCAGGAAAACAAATAGAC